GGTCTGTATTGAAGGTCTGTATTGAAGGTCTGTATTGAAGGTCTGTATTGAAGGTCTGTATTGAAGGTCTGTATTGAAGGTCTGTATTGAAGGTCAGTATTGAAGGTCAGTATTGCAGTCTGTATTGAAGGTCTGTATAATAGTCCTATTTAACGGTTAAGTTATAGCTTAATTAATAGCTTATTATATGTACGCTTATATATAGTTAACCCTCCTATATATAATCTATATAGCTTGGTCGTAATATAGATTGTAATAGAAACCTACAGTACTAACTGCAATACGGACCTTCAATACAGACCTACAGTACTGACTGCAATACAGACCTACAGTACTGACCTACAGTACTGACTGCAATACAGACTGCAATACAGACCTTCAATACTAACCTACAATACAGACTGCAATACTGACCTTCAATACTGACCTTCAATACAGACCTTCAATACAGACCTTCAATACAGACCTACAATACAGACCTTCAATACAGACCTTCAATACAGACCTACAATACAGACCTTCAATACAGACCTTCAGTACAGACCTACAGTACTAACTACAATATAGACCTTCAATACAGACCTTCAGTACTGACCTACAGTACTGACTGCAATACAGACCTTCAATACAGACCTTCAATACAGACCTTCAGTACTGACTGCAATACAGACCTTCAATACTAACCTACAATACTGACTGCAATACAGACCTTCAATACTGACTGCAATACAGACCTACAGTACAGACCTACAGTACTGACTGTAATACAGACCTTCAATACAGACCTATATAGCTAAAAGCTATAACTTAAATAATTATAATGCTTAATATAAGTTATAGATTATTTATATAACTTTTAAAATAACTATGTATTTAAATAATTGTTTATATTTTTAAAACTTTTAGATCCCTTAAGTAAAGTTGGAAAATCAGTTTTACCCCGCACTTAACCTGATTTTTTTATTTTCGCACTTTGTGGTAGTGGCCCACCCTATGCATAGCCCCAACCCATGCTGGCTGCGCACCGCTGGGCAGACTACCTGTAAGCCTATCTCAGTCTCGCCCTATAGGAATGTCATTAACTCAGGTCAAGCTCCTTGGCGGCGGACAAAGACCCCGCCGAGTTGCCGATTCACTAGATCAACTTTTGAATTTCATTCGTGGGAGGCAGTGACTACGGAAGTGATGGCAACCCCTACCATCCAAGTCATTCGATGAGCTACATATAGATAGTCTTGTGGCCCTCTGAAGTGTCACCAGTCCAAAGTATAGGATACACGCAGTGAAAAATACGATTGCCTTTGTTGTTACCGGGTGCCGTCGGCCAGGACTTGGGGCGTGATTTCCTACCCTTCCTACTGCATCGCTGTTCGTCTTACCTCGCTCGCCTGTTGCATCAACAATTCTTTTATAGGCCCAGGGAGTTGCTCCTTTGAACAATGAACGCTAATATAGACAACGAGATACAGGTCGACAAGCTCATAGAAGAATGTCGACTGGATACGCTAAATGGCAGACCTCAAAGTGACCAGAACAAGACTCGGATCGCCGAGTTTTTCAATATTCTTAGCTCAAATCTGAGCATCCGTTATATTGCGAAAGTCATATTACAGACTGGGCGCAGTAACAGAATCACATATGACTCGGTAGCGGATCATGCATGGGACGATGAAACCCCTCAAATTATCCTCAAACCAGGTCCAATTCCATGTCATTCATCGGTCGGAGGCATCAAATTCTGCACTGAGCTTTGCCGCATTTTCGCCACTTTTGCCTCTTACGGGGCCGGTACGAAGAGCGAGGAGTCTCTGAGCGTCCTTGGACTCTCTTTCTTAGAGGTTGTCATGAGGGCACAGGAAGGCTGTCCAGTTGCAAAACTCATAGTATCGACCATGATTCAAAGGAAATCAGGGGTTTCCACGCGTTCGCAGCTTCAATACTGGACTGAGAATGGAACTGAGAAAGTGTATTTGCGATTCCAACCCGTGTACAATGCGGTTTACATTTACCTCCACCATCCCACCCGCGTTCATGGAAGATATGAATTCTGCGGAATCATCAACGTATGTGCTGTGCCAGGTATGAACCCATTGCGGACATTATGCTCGCCTAAATGCTTACCTTACGCAAAAGGCAGCAGACCAGCCCAGTTCATACAACGCCTACCAGTCAATACGAACCTAAATTCAATCTCGATAATGCATATGCTACGTAATACCATTGATGAATGCTTGTATAGCCCGGAACATGTTCATTGCCGCATGGGTACCGACGAAGAAAAGCCTCTTCTACCATCAAGAGTGCTTGACGTAGGTCTACTCAATGACGATGATACCGCATTGAAACTGGTGATGCTTCCGGGTCAAAGAGCAGAGTACGCAGCGTTAAGCTATTGCTGGGGGGGGAAGCAGGATTTTGAGACGAGAAGTGATACCCTTGATTTGAACTTGAAGTCAATTGCATACGATCTACTGCCGCTTACCATTCAAGATGCCGTGCGCTTTACTAGAGCCCTTCGCATTCAGTACCTTTGGGTTGATTCCCTATGCATTCTTCAAGATAGTCAAGAGGACAAAGATGAAGAGCTTAGAAAGATGGCGGATATCTACAACAAGTCTACAGTCACTATATGTCCCGCCGCCGCCACCTCATCAAGAGACGGGTTCCTGGGGCAGAGCCAAACCGGAGTACATAACTCGCTGACTATAGCCCTTCCACTAATGCTTAGTCACGACAAAACTTCGAAGACAGAGGTAGTGTATCTCCAACCCGGCATCGGCGACGGGCCAAAATCCCAAAGTGATAAAAGAATATGGCCGACAGATCGCCGTGCCTGGACATTCCAAGAAAAATTCCTTTCACCTCGAATCATTACTATTTTTGACGTAGGATATCAATGGGAGTGTCTGAGATGCTCATTCAACGAAGAGGATGTCGCATGCAACGGGAAGTGGATTGATGGACGACGACTGGATCTCCTTCAAACTCTCTTTCCAAAATCCAAAACGCTTGACTCACATCAGAAACAGACCCTATTTGAGAATTGGCACTTAAACGTTGTATCCGACTATTCAGCTCGCTCGTTATCTTTCCAGGAGGACAAGCTCCCCGCCATCTCCGCTGTCGCCCAAGTCTTCCAAAAAGCATTGAACGACGAATACATAGCCGGGATATGGTTATCCCGTATTCGGGAGGGTCTCTCTTGGTGTTGCAGACCAAATTTCCAGATTCAGCAACGGCCCCCTGGGCCGTCATGGTCATGGGCATCTGTTCCAACACCCGTCCAAATGACGCCGCTGAAGTATGGTGAGGGAGAAGCGAAGATTCAGTTTGAATTGGTGGGCCACGACATTGAATTCGTCAATCCCGCGATGCCATTAGGAACGGTTCGCCATGCGAAATTGAGGATTCGCGCCCCCCTGAGGCGACTCAGTTCGGCTGTCCTTCGCAAGTTCTTGTTGCCATCTTTAAGCCATCTCTGTTGCGGCTGTGAACCCAGTCCAAGAACTGAAGGAGCAGGATGGATCTTCGCCGACAATATAACGTATGACCAGAATTGGTTCGTTCAACAGCAATGTATCTTCTCTCTGAAGCTATCCTCTCACGATTACGGGCACACAGCATGCGATTCTTTCATGTTTTCGGAAGCTGGATTGCTCCTAAGACTGGTAGACGGACATAACTCCGACGATGAAAAGCAATTGATGCGCATTGGATATTATAGGATCTGGTCCGAAGGGTATCTTGTTGATCACAGCTTTGAATCCAATCTCCAGCTGGTTAAACAATGGGCTGATTCTGATGACAGTCAGCTGCACCTCTTCACCTTGATATAGAGGAAGAGTGATGGGGTGCAACTAGCAAGTCGAATTCTGATTCTATGTACAAAGTGCATTCGCTGAGTCATTGGCCTTGCGGATGTATCCGCCGGTGGCCAAGCCGTTCACGAAAAGTGTGCAAATTCGAATGGATCCCCGTAGTGATGAACCATGCTAGGGAGGCAGCAAAGTGGTCTTAGTTCCGGTCATAGACGGACAGGGCGAATTCGTGTTAGAAGTTCTTTAAGCCATATTTACATTTTGAGCTGCAGACTAAATAGTTCTTTATCTGTTAAATTTTCGACGCTTGTGATGGTTACATCATACCCTCGGATTGAAGTTGCAAATTTTTATTATGTATTATAAAAATAGTCTTATATTATAGGTGACTTTAGTTTTATATGTTTCCATACTAGCCCCCTAACATTTATGTGCAAAACCCTCCCTTGCGTAACAACATTGAAACAAAACACGACAGCCCTTAACAGCCCTGGTCATGAGACTACGTGGATAGGGAGGAAGAACCACATGTTCTGGCGTCAGAGGACTCCAATCAAGATATCGTATAAATTGATGATAGTACTGAGATAGGTACTCATCCTGTGCTTCTCACATCTGTCCTGAATTCAAGCCCACCCAGTCCAACACTAGGCGACATAAATTGATTCCTACGACCACATAATCATCAGAGAATCGATAGTACAAACAAAAACATGGCATCTGGTGATCCACAATACGATGCGCTAGTACAATTAATGCATCGGTACTTTTCCGACGACGGTAACATCCCTTCTGAATATATCTATCACAGAATTAATGATTACCTTAATCGGAAAATCGGCGATTCCTGCACAGCGGATCAGTTGTGCTGGCTCGAGAGTTTTCTGCTGAGCTTTACCATGTACTATCTCTCGGACTGGTTCTACGTTAGCGAACTGCTCATTTGTCTAAACGAGACAGAAGCGCAGCTCTATTCTGCTCCAATTGCAGAGGTGCTCTACCGCGCTCACTGTGAGTTGGCTGTCTTATTACGCCTACTTGTTCTTCTGCGGATTGGCAATTGAGGTGTTGAAGCTAACTCCTGCAATGTACTTAGCCTCCATAGCAGACAGCAGAGAGTGGGACACGAAATGGGTAGATTACTGCGCTCTTGTCGGTAGTGTTATCGAGACTAGACTAGATGAACTTGAACATGAACAGCGACTGATCAGGATCCTTGTTCAAGTTTTTGCTGAGAAGAACCACCCGAGTCTCGAGAACATCCTGTTAGAAGGAGCGGCCACATGTCTGAGTAAGATGAGCAAACCTGTCGTACTATACATCAGGTCGAAAGAATGGGACATGACAGAATACGGGATGGGCGGACGCGTGACACTTGAAGACTGGTGTCTCTGGGACGCTCGACTTCTTGCATTCAAGCATGATAAATCTCAGACTCCAGAAGCAAGGAGTGTGGCTGCAAAAGCATTATTACTCATGCGAGGGGATTAGAAGCACAAGCAGCAAATGGCGACCACGGCGTTAAGGTCTTTTCCCCAACACAAACACAGTGCAGTATCACGTCCTATCACTCTGTTGCCCTCAGGCGTCTTGTTTTTCCTTTAATAGAAGCGCAGCTAATTACAACGTCAGATAGTAGTAGTTTGCTACTAGGAGACAATTGATTCCTAATTATTACCTATTTTGGACACGCCTAATATCTCCTGTACATTCGGGATTTGCTCCGATAAGCACTTACGTAAGTTGCACTTCCTGTTGTTTCCGCTTTGGTCGCCGTACCCGACATCAGCACCGGACTACATGAATGCTCCGGCCTGCATCGGTAGTTAGCCAACGCGTCATAGTATCATGTTCGGTAATTGTAGGCCGTCAAATTCCCGACAAACAATGTGCTACCCAAGGTAGCATCACTAGAGCTACACTCACATTCCGTGACAGAAGGTTAGTCAGGTTAGGCGGACATACCAGACATGAACAGCCACCTCTTCGTTGTTCCGTGATACCTGTCTAGACCAACTTTATCACAGTCAACCCCATTATGAGCTTTGGGCATAACAATTAATATTCTGAGCAATTATTGTAATTGAATTACACAGATTCATACTATTCTTTCTACTGCCTCGTGATTTTATCAATTCTCGCTCCGACTATCTCCCCTCGTGATCTTATTACAACTTCGAACGCTTTAATTATCTGCTAAGCAGAAGCCAGAAAGCAATGCATAAGTCTTTCTCCCCGTTAACGGGTGGGCAATAAGCCGACCAGTAGATCAAAGTACCCGGGGTAAAGGAGCAACGGAGTTTGCATAATTCATTCCGGATCATGTATTATTAATCATTCGTTTCTAGGTCATTGCGCCTTGTAGCCTGACTATATCTGCTACAGCCTCATGATATATAAACGTCGACGAGAGCCACAATAGCATGGGTATTGAACTCGTACAGCAGCACACACATCATCACTCGATTATCATATAACACGCTCCTCACCTTTAACGATACTCATCATCAAGATGAAAAGCAACATTTTCCTTCGCTCGGCTCTTTTAGGCCTCCAAGCATCACTGTCAACGCAGCTACACATCCCCAGGGCCGCGGATTCACTCATTCCTTATCCTACTCGAAAAATTGGCAACGTCAGCGTAGTTGACACTAAGATTGTACGAGAAGCCCAAGCTTTTGCACGCAGCCACAGTAGCGACGTCGTCTGGAATCATATAGTGCGAGGCTGGCGTAAGTATCATCTACAGCTGACCCCCTTTCTGCATATCTTTGTCCCTTTTTTTCGCACTTCGGGGGAGACAATAACTGCTAACTCGCGCAAACTACAGTCTATGGAAGCCTCATCATTGCTCACAATGACACTCTTCGCACCACTGTGGACGCTGAGGCACATGCTATGGCTGCGATCCTACACGATCTGGGGTGGGATCAAACACCCAACTCGACAGTCGTGAGCACCGATCGGCGCTTTGAAGTAGACGGTGCCATCGGTGCGCGTAACTTTATCAACAGCCACAGCAGCAACCCAAAAGACTGGAACGCCAATAGAGTTCAACTAGTGTGGGATTCTATTGCCCTACATACCCAGCCCAGTATCTTCGAATACAAGCAAGACACTGTCGCTGTGACCGGTCTTGGTATTCTGATGGACTTCGAAGGTCCGGCGGAAGGAGTAACGCAGCAGGAATATGACGCTGTAGTAGCTGCATTCCCAAAGGTCGAGTTTGAAGAAACAGTCAATCAGACTTTTGTTTGGCTTTGTCAGACTAAACCTAAGACTACATATGGTAAGCGTTTATCGAAATTTCTCTTCTACTTTCAGCGGCTAGCCTTGATGTACCAGGAAAGATTGCATGTGGCACTAACATAGACCAGATACTTTCATGCAGCCCTGGGGCGATAACTATGTTGCGAACTACTCTGCAGACGGGTATCGGATTATTGACATAATTTCTGCGCTTCCACGATGAAGTCTCCTGGCGGCCACGGACCTCAATCCAGCTCGTTTTATAATGATTCACGGCTAGAGAACTTGAGGGTTTGGTTGTTGTAACAATCAGGGGCCGGAAAGGGGAAGAGATAACTTTGAAAAGTACAACTTGTGGACACGGGTCTAGGAGGTTGCAAACAGCCTAGGCTATACTATCTTTTTAAAACAGAATTCCACTCAACTTTACCGACTTTAGAATGACGCGACACCCAAGCTCGGGCGGGGGGGTTAATGCTGAGATCAGGGGTTTCTATTACTAAGACTAGACCGCGATCATCTATCCAGAATTAGCAAGGAAATGTGAATGGGATGAGATGCTCGCAATCTTGAGATTAGGGATTACGAAAGCCACGGGTGAATTCCCCTTTAGGCATAAAAATCGTTCGGGTAGCAGAAATAGAACTCGTTGTTACATTTTATAACGTCAAGCTTGTGCGTCAGTTCGCTAGCTGAGAGTATTCAGTGTACCAACCAAAGTAGCGAAGCCCGTGTGACCCTGCTAATCCATACAACATTGCAGTCCAATGCAACGGGGCGAGTAAATTGTAGGAGAGACCCTGAACTTAGGATAAACTACAGTAACACAGTCCAAGCAAACTCATGCTTGAGTAAAGGATCGTCAAATGTCACCTAATGTGGTACAGAGAACCGTACAGCCCTCTATCGTAGTTTCAAGTCATATGAGTCGGAATTTAGCTGAATTATTCTCGCCTAGGACTGCTCCCATGAAGAGATACGAAACAAACGCCAACAAAACAGAGAATGTGCGTAGATCGCTGATATCTACAGTCAACAGGAAATGCACCAAGGTTACCCCAAAGATCTTATAACTCGGTGCGCAAACTGAAATAAGAGATAAAACATGGAAACCAGGTCCTATTATGGCTGGTGGCAGAAGTGATGCTAGTATCATCGAGTCTTGGGTCAGCCCAGCCGCAGCAACTGGCATCCGTGACGACATCAATGTTGGGGGCGGAATTTACCCTATCGCGCTGTATTTGGTGGTGAGGCGCATCAATCGAAAATGGGGTATTTTGTGCTTGAAATATATCGCTGCTTCCACTTGATAGCTACATTAGAACAGCTTCTCCCGTTTCCTTTCTGATCTTCGTGACCATCTTCGCTCATCATAAGATGGATCAAGACCGCCATGGATTTTCATACAACTCCAATGACTCATAATCGCCGAGATCAACGCCACTCTGGCGATAATCCTCGTGTTCCTCGACAATTCTCCGCTCTTTGACATGGTCGTTCATATTGACAGCCTCTGGGACAGGATCAATAGCGTCGTTGACAGCGAGCGTCTCGCTAAGCTGGGATTGCTCGCTCTCTTCCACCGCATGTGGTGCACTGCTCTCAAGCTTAGGCTCTTCTGTTATGTAACCCATATTGTTCGTGTAATGTATTGGAGTCTCTTTTTTGACCGGTTTATCATTGACGCTTATCTTTACCGTGTCGACTAGGCAGGACCTCTCTGGAAGAGTGCGAGGGTATGGTACTTCTTGAGGCCAGGGTCCGTCATCCCAATATGGACATTGAAATTCTCGTCCTTGCCAGAGTTTTTCAAATTCCCTACGCCCGTATTTTCGGCCATAACAAGGTCTTCTTTGGTGATTTTGTCGGAATTGGAAGACGTCATACCCAAAATCTTGTATGACAGAGTCCCAAAGATCACCAGCCAAACTGCCTATGTACCAGCCTTCGCGATTCGAATGATGGGTATACGCCCATTCGTAGGCAGTTTGTCCTGATTCGTCCCTAGCATGAATATCGGCCCCATTCTGGATGAGAAATCTAATAGTGTCAACTTGTCGATCTACAGACCACGTCACGAAATTTTGAAAGCAAACATGGAGGCATGACCTCCCATTTGCGTCACGCGCATTAATATCCGCGCCTAATTCCAATAGAAGAGAAAAACGGCCTCTTTCAAAATTGTAACCGCACTTCTCACAGATAATAAGAAGCGGTGTTAAACCCCCATCAATGGCGCTGTTAATATTAATGAGAGGATGGAGTAGACTCGAACCCCAAATTGCTCGGACTTTATCCTGCAATCTCGAATTAGTCTCGAACAAGTATATGAGTAGAATGATTGCGCTTATGTTGGCGCCTTACTGGAGTTGCATCTAATATATTTTCTTTGAGAAATGAGAACCTCTTATTCACACGCAATGTAGCATCTGCGCCCGCTTCTAGTAGAAGCCTCCTACATTCTGTAACGGGAATGTCCTCCTCTTCTGTACGCAGATCTCGGATATCGATATCTAAAGCCGAGCTTGAAGATGACGTTGTGATTAATTAGTTGTTATCATGCCATGCAACTAATACATCGAGCAGTCAATATTATAAATTACTTACCCGCACGTACGGAATTCACCCAGGTGTCTGAAATTGCCATGAATTTCATAAAGGCGGTCGGCCACGACGTCAACTTCTATCCCTTTTGAAAGTAGAAACCTGCATATTTCGGGTTGCCTCGTGGAATAAAATAGGAGATTGGCCCCGCGCTCGTCATGATCGTGCAGTGAAGCTTCCCCTCTACGCAACATGTCTTGGAATTCTCGCAAATGACCCTGGGCTACCACACTAAATACGCGCGAATTCCCAGGCAGAATCCTATTCACGGCAAGTGATGAGATAGACTGACCTCGGCGTGCGACTAACCCATGTCGAATAGTCGATGCAACAAGCATGCTGAATTTTCTTCCATCTTTGGGAAGGAATGTTATAGTGATCTTATAGCCGTCCTCATCGACTCCTGGGGTTGAGTCACCTGCTTCAGTTGGATGTGGCAGTCGAAGTTGTTTACTTGTCATTATTGAGAGAGTCCCCAGGTCATGAAGATCGAGGCTGGTACGCTGCTTCCTCTGTCGAAATCTAACATTTTCGAGTTTACCTGAACTCCGGGCTGTGAGGAGTTCAGAAACGTTCTACCGTTCCGTATTATCTCGACACACTTACCCGAATTCACAGCAAATTTATATTGCCCGAACGCTTGATCAAAATGTCTGAGATCACTGCGAGCTTCAAGATTACCCTCAGCCTTGGCATACTCCTTAGTGCACCGGATTAAGGTTTGTAAGTCTTCCATGATATCTTCAGCTTGGGGGTCATAACCGTCGTCGGTATCGAAGTTCTGGTCTTTCATTTCAATCAATCCACACAACCTTGTGATGCTTGCTATCAGAACGCTTTTTGAGAGTGGTGATGTATCGTAGGCGACCTTTTCTGTTTGGCTGGGTCCTTCCTTTCTGCAGCCCGATATGATCTCTTTACTGTGCAAGGCTTGAGATCTATTCTGTGATATAACCAAATCTTTCAGTTCATGAAGAAGATATAACATTCCGGTAGCATCAGCCCGCGACACGGACGACGCATTTTCAACAGCCGCTTGGATGGATGATAGGCCACAATGTAGAGCTTCATTTTGGGAATTCTGCATAGATCGAAGGCTCTCGTCGAGGTTCGGGATCCTCGCAGACTGTCTATTGAATTCTTGATCGAATCTCCTTTCAAGGTCCACGATTGACTGACGTGCCATCTGAACATTGGATGAAATGGTATGGGAGTTTATACTACACTATGGTATTAGATATGGGATGAAACAGGTGACTTGACGTGCATGTGTACGAGCCTGTGTAAAATACTCAGTCTAAAATGGATGGCGTTGGTGTGTGCGCTAACTCGAGCACGAACATAATCCAATCTTTTCTCATCGAGGAACGACCTAAATCTTTTCCATAATCTGCCAGTCCCTTTTTCATTAGGAGTGAGCTGAAGCTTTTGGATATTATCAGCCAGAGGGCTGAGATCTAAAACACAAGCCTTGATTTGCTGGCTTAGAGACGCATCGCTGGTGAGGAAAGGATAGCTGTTCAGCAGCTCTAGCGCCCCGTGAAGTCGCAAAATATCGCTCGCTGTATTGTTGACGGTTTCCGGGCCGTCTTTGATAGACGAGAGCGAAGTGTAGAGATTTCGAGATAATTGCGCGGCAAGAACAATGAACGCCACGGCGTTCGCCCCAGCGCCGAGGGCTTCCATGATCCCGGGAAGTCGCTTAGTACTGTTCCCTAAGACCCTTCATTAAGCTATTCATAGTCAAAAGGCTCAAGACCCGTGAATGCGCCAGAATGATGAAAGTAAATGTCTCCACGCCCTCCACAAGTCAAGGTGGCTGAGGAAGTATCCGAAGCCTTGCCATCTACTTCCCCGCTTTGCACTGCCTGCCTGCGCCCGTACCTCAGCCGCCTCGTCTAATCGCTGACCGAGCCAACCTTTCACGCATAGATATTACAAGCCACAGTAAACACATTGTTAAGCGTGAGTTCCTAATGCTTGTGGAGGAAAAAGATACCCAGTATGAGACTAGATTGAAATATCTTAATTGTTGTATATCTGAGATACCAATGCACACCTGCTTTCCTGGGATGGTGCATAATCAACTACACTTGAGAATTGAAAATCAATATATCGGCCAAATATGTGCTAAACCTCAACATCAGTAGTATTCTAGAGCCTGAATATACAATACCTGTCGCATCCAGCCTTGAGCTTGAAAAGGTCAAGCAGTGGGCACTGACACCAAGCAGGGAGGCCGGAATGGTCTAGGTCGCAATTTCGTAGTGCCCGCCAGCGTGGCATACTGACCACCCACTTTACGTATACAAGCTGAACATTGGGTCGTACGAAAGGCCCTTGTAGGCTGTTCATGATCTTCAGAGACAAGCAGGCAATATTGGAAAGTGAGGGTATACAAGCTTTGCTTCATGAAACAAGCCAATGAGCCCTAGGCGGTCTACGCAGTTGTGTATAGAGTCGAGTCAAGCCACCAAGCACTCCTGCAGCCCTACCGTAGTTGATCATTATGATGTGAATAGCTCCAATTACAAGCCCAGGTACCCACCCTTTTTATACAAGCATATCCGAATATTCATCGTAGGCAATGAGCATTCAGGCGACGGCGCTAATCTGGGTGGGAATCAGGGGGTTTGAGAACGCAATACCTGGCATGCTTCTTGAACTACTATTTCCGGGCCCATTACACATCAACAGACTCCGGTCTCGTTGAATACGCTTAGAAGTACCTCTTCAAGGGGACGCTGAAGCGTGCTAAGCGTTGATGCCCTGATTATCATATGGTGGTAGTAAAGCAGGGACCGTTGGCCGGCAGAGGCCAATTCGAGGGTGGCGTCGTTTTCAACTTCTTTGTTTCAGAATCGTAATAACCTATCACCCTAAACATACCTCGTCGTGTATTTACGGACCATTCCAATAGCGACGAGATAGGAGATCAAACCCCGCTTTCGATCACAAGTGTAGAGGACGATGGCGCATATAGAAATACGACGCCCTAGGTAAGTAAGTATCAAAGAGGTACTCGAGCAGCACAAAACATACCAACTCTTGCCAAGATGACGGCACAGCTAGCCTGTTCAACTGGATACCAATGCTAAGCTTTCTAGAGCCCACAGGTAAAGGCCTCAGTAAGGTATATCTATGGGGTTTCCTCTTATCACAATATGTAGATAACTCCCCCGGTTTATCAGGAAATTGGATACATAGTCATAGTTGGTGAAGAGGGTACACAGACTGCTGGATCTCACATGACATGATACGGCATATTTTTAGAATGGCGTGGCAACCATTGATCATTGAATATTTCATCATCTCAACTAGGCTGCATCATCATCACTCGTATTGCTATACATTATTTTTTTTCTTTCTTCATTCCATCCCTTCAGTTATATTCAACGGAGAACTCCGTCCGCTGCATGATCTTCTTGTCGGGCGTCGTCTGCTGAGACAAATCCGACTTCTCTGCCCCGAGCGTCACAGTATACGGCTTCGCCTCGTCGGGGATGCGCAGCTTCGGCACGAGCTCCAGCTCCTGGAAGGAGGAGTTGTTGTCGGCTGAGTTGTAGGCGGAGGACTGTCTGCTCCGCGTCGACCAGGAAGACGGCACGAGGCTGGCGACCCACGACCCCATGTCCTCCAACGTGGGCAGCTTGAAGTGCGCGGGGATCTTCAGCGTCGGGATGCAGCCCATGATGATGACGAGCCATTGCTCCAGGGCCGCGAACAGGTTCGTCAGAGTCTGGTAGTATCGGACGAGCGTGACCGATGTGACCTGCGTGGTCAGGCGCAGGAGAGCCACGGCGATCTTCGTGGTGATGATGGTGAGCGTGATGAGCGACAGTGCCAGGATCGTCGCGAGGGCAATCTTGCGGCGCCGAGGCATGTTGAGCTTCGAGATGACCAGGACCGGGAAGAGGACGAAGGTCAAGTCAGATAGGGCGTACAGGACTAAGAGTACCCTGTTAGCACAACCGTGTCTGTGAAACCGAATTGGTTGCAACTCATTTCACTTACATTGCGTGGCAATAGCAGTATACGGATAGATGTAGGGGTTCCATCGTTTAGCCTTGATCATTGGAGTCCAGAGCCCGTAGAAGGGAACGCACTGGGCGACGAGGAAGATGATTGAGAGGAGCGAGAGGACGGAAAGGAACGAGGTGAACAGAATCAGATACCATTTCAACCACCTCCTGACGCCGAAGATGCGGACCAGCAGAATGGTAATGGATATTCTGGCTATGCACGAAACCAGAATACTCGGAACAGCTGAGATCCAGCCCCATTTGCTCGTCTGCTGCTTCTGAAGCGGATCCAGCTGATCGAACGGCAGGCCGCCGCCCCAGGAAATGATCTCGTGGAAGAAGGCTTGAAACACGAACTGGATAGCCAATGCCAGAAGCATGATCCAGTCGTCGAGGCTCCAATTCTTCGAGGTCCGCCGCTTGATGATGAACCGGGCGATGACGGTGAAGGTGGCGATCCCAGCCAAAGTGTACGACAGTCCCAGGCTCAACGGCCCCAGGCCCTGACTGCCGGTCTTATCCGTAGGGACTGACATGGTGAAAAGCAAAGCCGCGCGCTGTAAGTCTTTTCCCTTCTTTTCACAGCACAGCACAGGAAGCGCGAAAACGCAGCAACGTAGAACTTCAGGAAAAGGTGATTACGAAGAAGTGAAGAACGTAAGCGAACATTATAATGTATAGAGGGTTCCACCGCGGAAGCGAGAAACGGCAGGGTTGGATCGAAGGCTCACATGGAGAAGCTGTATCGGGTCTACGCATTATGCGGGCCGTACAACCATCGTATCCCCTTTGCGGTAAGGGAGGGGAGCGCTAGAGGGGACAGATGGAATGGTAGGGCCACCAGGGTCGTGAGAGACGCGGCCGAGAGAATGCGATTACGGGGTTTGGCCGAATCCTGCACAGGTCTTGGGAGTGGGCACCACGGTTACATTGGACGATCCTTTTCCGTGCCACCCCATCGCAGCCGGGGCTGGTGAGACAGCAAGCAGAAGGAAGGTTGCACTGCGGGCTCAGGGTGGCGTGAATAGGTACGCCAGAGATATTGCTCGATGATGTCTGGATGTCCAACACAACTACATAGATAGGAATCCTACCACGGCTACAGATCCCATCTTTGTCCGGCTACTGAGGCAGCTAATATGTGACATACAGTAGCGGGCACAGAAGCTGATTACTACATGCAGATGGCGTGAGGAGTTCTCCCCGGTTATAGCCAGTTCTGACCAGTTACGTATATTACTTGCATTGCCACTCGCTGCTACTCTGCTACTGCTTACGTGAAAGGACCCTAGTTGCCCAGATCGTTCAGCTTGATCGGCGTTCTGCTCGCCCTATGAGAGGCGGCAGTTTCGCGGTGCACTAGCTGTAACTATCCTAGTGAAGGCCAGGGTTTAATTCCTTATTGAACTAAGTCCTCGACTTACCAAATTGCGTTTCGCTTATAGATTATCACTTGCCTGAATAAGGATTGCTCGCGACGATTAGACGTCTTCGTCGTAGATAATGAACAGCTAATTAAGGGCTTCGATATCATACAACGTAGTCTCAACGTAGTACGGTAGCACCTCGGGTTTACAGAAAACGTGCCCTTTTAGTGCCGAGTTATACAAGGTTATGGCTGGATAATGGGGTCGGGTCTTGGTTGGGTAAGGCGAGAAAGTGAGGGGCGACAGTAGAGTAGGTCCCCGCTGATCTAAATATAGGAACTGAGCAATTAAACTGGTTCCGCGATATCGTACCAGATCACGATACCAAGACCGAGACATGACAGGGAACATGCTAGTAACGAGATGCATTACACCAGCAACTCAAACGGTTGTCTCGAGATCTTCGGGAAAACGATGTCTTGAAAAGCTTGATATACCTACAGTAGGTAGTGAGACAAGATCGACTATACTGCGCCGAGTCTGACCGAGTAAAGGGATACTATGTAATTAGAGACCAATAGCTTCACAACCCAGTTGGATACATGTCTAGGTGAATTGCCACGGCGCGGAATTAACTAGACGGCCACCACATAGGCCAAGGAAAGGGATTGACTTATATGTACACTAGTGGTATAGATTCTGCAAGCAGACACAAATAGGGCTTGACATCTGTATAATGAAAATGGGTAATTATTTCCTAATCGTATATGGGGAGCCGAGATTCCGATCGAGCGTTCGTTCGCTAGTTCACCATGATTCGGACCCCCTTGCTTCCCCATTTCGGCATCGGTCGAGCAAGGTCGACGATAAAGTCGACGTCGTCTCGGGTCGTCTCAAAGAGCTCCAATTCGTGCCTGCGGAAGACGGTCGCAAGCCCGACGTACAACTCCATCCACGCGAGGTTGAGACCCAGACAATTCCGCGCTCCACGGCTGAACGAGACCATGTACGACGACAGGGGACGCAGGCCTCCCGGGCCTTTAGGATCGCCGAGCCACCGATCTGGTTGGAACTCCGTAGGATTGGGAAATACTGTCTCGTTCATGTGCATGTGATACGCATCCATGCTGACTGCCGTGTTGGGGGGTATCGTCCACTCTTTGTACTGCAGCATGCCGAGGCGATTCACGCGCGGTAGTCGTTGGACGGAGCCGAAGCTCAAGCGCAGAGCTAAGACAACTGATGAGTTCATCTCTTCTTATCCATTTCCACGTTGATCGTTTACATACCTTCCATGATAACAGCAGACAAGTAAGGAAGGTCCTCTAGTTCGTTCCAAGGTAGGATCTTGGCCGGGTCCGGCATCGCCTTAGTGAGCTCGGCGGTTAGACGCGACTTGATGGATGGGTTGTTGAGGATGTGGAACACAGCAACCGTGAGAGCCCACGAAGTCGTCTCAACGGCACCACCATTCACGGCCATTGCTTCTTGCTGCAGTCTCGATAAGGTCATATCTTCCTCAGGCAAATCCGCCGAGAGCGCATCATGGAAAATGGTCGGCTCAGATGACTCCTTGGCAGCAATTTCCTTCTTATCGAGGAAGCTCTGTATGTACTGGGCCATTTCCTATCGATGGTCAGTCAGGAGGTTTTACCAAGTGAAGAAGCGGATCGGCTCATACTATTCGGAATCTCAAAACAGGCTTGAAAGATGGCGTCATGAATGCGAGTATGAAATCAGGGAGAGAGTTCAACATTGTAACAAGAAAGCCGAAGTGTGTCATGACGTGGGAGGCATTAACGGCCTGTGTTATTGCCTGGGCAAATGGTGAGGTGAAATCTGGCGCTGATGAGAAGTCTGTTGGGCGAGCGAAAGCTATCTCGGTGATAATGTCGGATGCCATGGCACTCCACATGAAGTTCACGTTGATGGTCTTGCTAGTCCCTGCATACTCAGTCGACAGGCGTTTTGAAATGCCATCAATAATAACCTGGAGGTCGTCATTGCGACTCCTGATGCGCGCTTTCGAGAAACATGGCGCTATAGCAGCACGACGGCGTCGGTGAACCTCTGCCAGACCGGTCTGCACCGTAGCCTCCGGGACACTGAACCGATACCTAAACTTCTCGGTCTTGTCTATGGGGCGGTTGGGGGTATTGTTGCAGTAAACGACGTCGTAGTATTCCACGTCGTCTATATGTATCTCATCCGGGTTGATACGAACAATTGGCCCATACATCTCGTGTAGCCGCCGTATCTGGAACGTCCATTGCCCACCTCCCTGGCTGAAGATGTCGTAATAGGCCTCGTACCAGTGTGTAGCCGCTCCCAGCTTAGGGCCCGGGAATGTTGCTAGAGGATGGAAATAGAGCCTGTAGATGGCCAAATAGACGCCTCGCAATATGAAGTATGCTACCAGACCAACAACGGCATATGCTGGCCACGGCCAGAACCCGGGTAGGAGAGAGAAGATGGTATCCCCCATTTTCGGGGTCGCTCAGCACAGGCGGGCTGATTCACAGATGTTTCCAACTTTGAAAGAAGAACAATATGATTCTACTGACAACGACCGATCATTGTCGATGATACCAGGAGTCGGTGTGCCCACGGCACCATATGGAGGCATCTAAAATGGCTGTCAATATGCGTGCGAGCCCTACAGGCCATGGTAGGTACTTGGTCCATTTCAGCAGGTACTTTGTTCTAGGCCCTAGCGAAGTATCTCTACAGTGTCTCACAGCGCCCGTCATACAGTAAGCCCCAGTGTAACCAGGCGACATGTCTTACCTGAAGTAGGTACTTACATTAGGTATGTAGATAGGTATATGTAGGTACCTAGACAGAAGCCTAGCGAGGCTAGATAGGTGGGTTGATAGGCGGGTTGATAGGCGGGTTGATAGGCGGGTTGATAGGCGGGTTGATAGGCGGGTTGATAGGCGATTAATTACAGGGTCATCCCACTAACGGAAAGCATTAAAACTACTACAGTGGCTAAGTTTTAGGACTCGTTCTGGCTGCCCGCCATTCCTCATCGCACAGGGGGAGTCCATGGATGAAAATACCACCGTCGTCACAAGCTTCAATGCAATCCAACCCAAGCAAAGCAAGGGGCTGCTTATCCTGGCAGATCCTGGGTTAGGCAACGAGGCGGAATCCATCCTCCAACCCTTCGCTTTTATCTCCGACGTAAGGCGGTACAATAGTGATTGATGGTGGGGGAAGGCGGTGCTGCAGTGCTGCAAGTGTCTTCGACCCCTCAATTGCGAACCTAACTTAGGTAATCCGGATCAATGTAACATGAGAAAAAGAGAGAATTGTCGCATGTCGAGCGCAAGATAGATAGATAGATCACTTACACCTAGACTTAGCTCTGTTTCAATTTACTTGTTTCTCTTCAGATTCTCTTTCTTTTACCAGTTTGACAGGAATCAGCAATACTATCATAGAATAAGCCTTGCCGTCACAAGGTTGATCGATATCCAACAATCACAATCATCATGTCTGACCAAAAAGTCGTTGTCATAACAGGCGCTGGGAGAGGTAAGCTATGATGTGATCCCTAGCAATAAGTACCGAAGTGACCACTAATGAGAATCCGACAATAGGCCTCGGAAATGCTTTGGCCCGGGCATATCTCGCACGACCCAACCACACAGTAGTAGGCAGCTATCGCAACGAGGCCCAGCCGGGCGTGGGCGAGTTAAAGTCGTCACCAAAAGCAGACGGCTCGCGCCTCATCCTAGTCAAGATCGAGAGCTCGTCTCCCTCAGATGCCGCCGAGGCGGTCAAGGCAATGAAGGCCGAGGGCATCGAGCACGTCGATGTCCTCATCGCCAACGCCGGCGTGAGCCCGCCGCTACAGCCAGTCGAGACCGTCGACCTGAGCATTCTAAAGAACGCATTCGACGTCAACGCACTGGGTCCTCTAGCCTTGTACCAGGCCTGTCACGAGCTCCTCAAGAAATCCAGCAGCCCTAAATTCGCGCCGATTTCTAGCGCTGCCGGCACCCTTGGCGGCATGGAAAAGTATGACGTTCTGTTCTGCGAACTGCCTCGCTTACGTACCTCGGTTAGCCGGCCGGCTCATTCGAGTCGACTCTGCTGCTGCTGCTGCCGTTATTGGTACACAACCCGATTGAATTCGTTTCGCTGACTTTTTGTTTGTTGCTGAACAGGGGTCACACTTGGGTTGCTCCGTCCTACTGCATATCAAAGGCAGCGCTGAACTGGATCACGCTGTGAGTATAATTTTTTTCCACAGGATAATCAATTGCACCAAAAGACCAATCCGCTGACGAATCACGTAACAGAGCCGCACATTGTGGTAATCCTTGGCTCACCGCCATAGCTATCAACCCAGGGTATGGCTCCTTGTCTATTAAAAAAAAAAAAAAAATCTTGGGCGCGCCTTCTTATTGGAGAGACTGGAAAACGCTGACAAGCATTGTGTTGTTGTTCAATAGTTTGATAGCCACTGATATGGGCAACGAGACGGCCAAATACCTAGGTCTGGAAAAAGCGCCGTGGACGCCTGAGCAAAGCGCCGAGAAAGTAATGGCCATTGTGAGTTTACCTTACTATACTATACCTACACCACGCAGATGCCACTTTTCATTTCCTCCCCCAAGAGCTTGTTGGTTCTAATGCGATTTCTCTACACTAGATCGACGACTCTAGCCGCGAGAAGTACTCCGGCAAGTTCATAGATGCCATTTCCGGCATCGAGTTCCCGTGGTAAATTCCGTGCAAAGACTACTATTTGTCTTGGCCGATTATCACGTTGGGCGCTAGGACAGGACAACTGTGCTACTGCGTACATTTAGCGGCATTCGCCGACTGGCTAGAATTGTAGAAAGGCCCCCTCTTGATGGACATCGTCCGTCTCCTCATATACTAGGGAATTACTATTAGATTAGAGTTACAGTAGCCTATACAAATTAAGTAAGCACAGCCCCAGCCGGTTACAAAGTGACGCCATGATGGTTCCATTGGAGGAGGTCCGAGTAAGAGTAAGTAAGAGTACGGTATCCGCGGGTCGGTATGCAAGTGCTTGGGGGCCAGCGCTGACGCCACGCGTGTTTCTGAGGTCCATATTAAGTTGCATTGTTACGTAAGCTTAAAAGCGCCATTATTATTATTATTGAAAGGTGTCAGAGTGTCGGTGTTCATCCCCTGCCGGCATCTCCAAGGAGGTAGGACTTCGCTTAGGTCATGGAGGGTGTGGTTGATATAGTGGCACAGCCTACTTATTCTAGACCCTGGCAACTATTCGTGATATCGTATCGGCACCGTGTTTCAGCCCGCTCGTCCTACCCAAATCACGTGGGTTTCTATGGGTTACAGTTGCAGTTGCAATGAGGTTGAGATGTGATGCAACGCCCGTCTCACCGAAGCACTGCAGGAAAAACTGGAAACTGGGAGTTGGGTAAAAAAGCAAGAAATAAACGTGTTGAATTGGGTATCTACTGAACTAAACTATGAACTGAAATGAAGTGAAGTGCTAAAACATGAAATCCTAATCAAACAAACAAATGCTCATACGTGACAAAGCCTGCCACTTGGGTCCTCATCCCACGACTCGCTCCCAACTGCTGTCTGCGAGTAGAATATACCCGCCGGGTCAACCTTGCGCTTGATATCTCTCAAGCGAGGGTAGTTCTTCCCGTAGAATTCTTGCATCCAGTTGGGCTGTTGGAAGTTTGCCTCGTTGAGGTACGCGCCACCGCCCGGCGTGACCTTTTCAACCTCGGGCATGACCACCTCGGTCAGATTCTTCTGGAAGGCCGTCATATCATCCCAGGGCATGCTGAAGTCCCACGTCTTGACGATGATGCAGTGAAGGAGCGCGGATCGCCAGCTCGGGAACACCGCGTTGGAATGAGGTCGCGGCTGGTCGGCATTGACGGCGTCGCATACGATCGCAAATCCGCCGTCCACGGCTTTCTGGAAGGCCTGGGCAATGTCCTTCGATCCAGAGGGCGTCTCCAGTATCGAGCGCGGCAGAAGTCGGCCGCCGGTGATTTGCGCCGCGGGCGTGGTTGAGACAGCCTGCGCGAAGTACATGTTGAAGAAGTCGATGTAGTGAGAGTGCATTGTGGTGGTGATATTGAGCTCGATGCCGATTTCAGCCATGGCGCTCGTGACCGGCGCGAATATCCTCTCAACTTCAGATGCATTTGTATTCGGTATCGCGATACCGTAAGCGCTGACGGCATAGGGCGTTATGGCGTATGAAGCGACGGCGCCAGCATCCACTACCGGGCCTAGGGCTGACTGGAATGTGGCTAACGCCTCCCAGAACTTCTCGGTACTGCCGGCCAGCTCTGCGTCGAAACCCAAGCTGGCGCCCACCATGGCGCCATCGGGATGAAGACGAGTGGTCATCGACACGACGACCGCGAACGTGCCCGCGCCGCCGCCACTCAGAGCCCAGTAGAGGTCAGCGTTCTTGGTCGGTGTGGCCACGACATGCTTCCCTTCGGCAGTGACCACTTCCCATTCCAGGACGTTGTCGGCCGCCATACCGTACAGAGACGTGAAAACGCCATGGCCGCCACCGGGCGTGTAGCCACCTGCAACACCTACATCGGGACAAGTGCCGGTAACGACTCGGTAGCCCTTATCGCTGGCTTCTTTGACGGCATTGGAGGTAAGAACTCCAGCTCCGAGCCGGACAGCTGGGCCCTTATAACATGAGCTCCCACTATACTTGTCCATGAACTCGATGCTATTCAAGTGATGCGTCCATAGAGACAAGGAACCTTTACCAGTGGACTTGCCAAGGAGACTAGCGACGATGTTAGCCACCAGTATGAGATTGACAGCAAAGGGAACTTACTCATGTCCTGTGTTCTTAATAGTCAACCGGATGTTGTTTTCTCTGGCGAATTTTATGCCTGCTTGCACGTCTTCGACGGACGAAACAGCGATGGAATATTGGGCATAGTTTCCGAGCTCACACGGCTTGTCTATGGCCGTGAAAGGGTCGCAAGACTGGTTCTGGTAAAATGGCATAAGAAACTCGGCCGATTCCTGAACACTGCGCGACAGTTAATTTCATGGTCCATGGTGCTCTGCGGATAGCAGCATGACTTACTGAACATCGGCAAAAGGCCAGGCCTCCTTGAGACTTTCGCATTGCTCTTCATCATAGTCTCTGCCGTGGCAAAGCGTCGCCAACTGCGTGGTAGCGATCAACGCGCCGTTTACCGTTTGGTTGAGAGAGGCCCATTCGCTTGAAGATGGCCAGCCGGGGTCGCCGGGGATGTTCTTGCACACCGCATTTTTCCGTGGCATGCCATGAGCTCCGGGGAGCGCAAGGACAGCACCGAGCATGAAGACTCGCGTCCAACTCATCGTGGCGAATGGGGAGCTATCTATCACCTGGAACAATGAGATGAAGTTGCTATCGGTGAAGTAGAGAGTATTGGAGAGTGGGCGAAGGAACCGACGATGACGATCTTAGTGTATACTCTTAAGTCGAGGGCAAATTAGACAGCAATGCTAGCCTTCATAAATAATGATATCCATCGGAGACTCCCGGCAACAAGGCAAGCTTAGTTCAACCTCGCTCACCTTGGCTATGCTGCTATTCATGGTACAATTCTTATTTATGGGTGAAAACAGTCCCGGTTTACAGGGCTGGGTACCGTAGCTTATGGATTATGACATACATGAGAGCAACGGTCAGACCATTGTCCTGCCCTACGAGGTGGACCCCTAAGAATAGACTTCGTGAATGCTACACTGCCTAGCGTAGAGTGATCTGGTGAAGGCATCAAGGTATGTCATGAGACAAGGCTAAAGGGTACCGGCGTTTACGGTACAGGTGAAGAAGCATTTCCCCATCTCTAGAGTAGTCTGCCTACTATGTACACCAGAGGCATACGTGTCTATACGCTAGCTCACGCCCATACATACCCATAGAGATAGGCATATCTCGAGAGTTGAAACAGGAAACATCTCCAGGGTTCTAGCGCGAATCGCTCTGCCGGGTCGCCTCCTCTCATTTACCGACTTACTGTATCTCCAGAGCGTATTTAGTGGGCTGGTGGGAAGGACCTTGCATAGCCACTCCTGTCTTGTCAAATCCTTCGTGATCCTTCGGCGAATTGGGCTCTGGTGCTCCTCAAGCGCCATGTCAGTAGGCGTAGCGGAGATGCTAGCAGTTTTAGTAACGCTAAGAGGCGGTGGGTAGGGCACCAGCCCGTCGTCAATTGAAGGTTATGATGTTTATGTAAGGAGAGACGCAGGTGAAGACATATATATATAGTATCTTAGTTGTCTTGGTCAGTCAGCATAAGGTCGTATCGGATGGTGGTGGCCTAGACGGCGAATTTCAGCCGTAGGATGTCGGGGTTGAAAGAAGAGCGAGTGTGATTGACGCCGCCTGTCTGTGCTGCACGTATAATGGCCTGATGGGACGAAGAGCTGAATGGTGCCTGATTCGATCACTGATGGGTCCTGGCCTATGCCGAACCGAATCCTTTCGCTAGGCTTCTACTGCCGTTCATCCTTCCGCTCCCTGAGGAGAGAATATGTACATACTTAATAGGGAGGTAGTGTTTTGTTATCAAGAACCCAGGTCTGAACCCAGTATTGCCCTGGATACCTATGTCAATGTCATCCCAGCATTCTGCCCTGCCCTGTCCTATATAAGTAGGTACTATTATAACGAACAGCGGGTACACTATGTGTTCTTCTAAGTAGTTAGGTAACAATGGGCGTAGTGTAGATAGGAGTGAGAGCTTAAAAGGAGTTCCTAACCTTGACTAGTGTACCGACGGAGATTGACAGTGATACTGGCGTGAGGCCATTTGACATGTAGTTCCACAGTATGCCAAAATCTAGAACTAACATGTGTCCATTACCGGCCCAACGTATCTGGATATCATTGGCTCATGAAGATACAGTATTGTCATGGCCCGATTCACGGCATCATAGACACCATATGCCTGCCTTAGGGAGTGGACTAAGTCGTAGCGACATTACTAACCTCAGGATCGAGTTGCATCATTCACATGCTTTTACCATCCAATCTCGACACCGAGAGTGTGCCATTACCCTCGATCTGCATGGTCCCCAATCCTTACCCAGATACGCCCCCAAAGCCAAGACAGCACCAAGGCGAGTGGCCGAGACATGGGGCGCCAGCTACCTACTTAATATAGCGTAGTATTCGTCCTGAAAATGTAAGCCCTATGTTACCATTTATCTGCATGCTACTCTACTATGATAGGTACGCTCGTGTTCTGTGCTGTCTGCACTATGGCCGTTTCGAGGTCACCTCTCCGCGCTCTGTGCGTCCTCGCTACCAAGACACTGGCGAATGAATGTAACTTGTACCGCCATGACAGTTTCAAAGCTCTCGCCGTCCAGCACATCCATGTGGCCCTTCTTTGGGACGACGTACATCTGCTTTTGTGACTGTATCCGATTATAGATCAGCTCCTTCTGATCCGCCAGCGGGGAGATCTGGTCATCCTCCGGTGTCACCATCAGCACTGGCGTCGGCGCGAGATATCTCAGCAGCTTGAACGGGCTCCAGGCCATGATGTGGTAGTAGGTCTGGATTGTTGTGTTTAGATTGAAGCCTGGGATTTTCCTGGCTTCTGCGACGAGGCCAAGCTCGCTGGCCCCCATGCCTGACGAAAAACCAGCGGGGTTGACCCCCCTGTCGGTTATCATGGGCAGCGAGAAAGCACCGTTGCCACTAAGCTGAGATTCACGGTCCTGCATCGCCTTTGCCATGACGCCACGCCATTTGCTCTCGTCGAGATCCCAGTGAGTCAACGGGCACACGCTGATGACTGCCTTTGCTCGCTTATCAAGCGCAGCAGCCGCTAGGGCCACTGCGCCGCCAAACGAGAAGCCCCAATAAGCAATGCGCTCAGGGTCGACCCGTCCGTCGGTCTTCAGAAACGTCAGGGCGTCGTGGTAGTCTGTTGCTTGCTGGGCAGGGTTGATATCGTTTCGGGGATTGCCGTCGCTGCTGCCAATGGTGCGCGGGTCATAGATTAAGGCTGAGATGCCGTCGCGCTGAAACCGCTGCGCGATCCTGGGTAAGAGTACATCTCTAGTCACATTAAACTGCGACGCCCGTGAGATTCATGATGCCAAATAGCCGCTTAGTGAAAAACTTACGCCTGGCGTGATGATAATTGCAGGACTGTTCGGCCGCCCCGCTAGGTATAGAGTGCCGCGAAGTGTAAGGCCGTCGAGGGTCTGGAAGCTGACCTCCTCATGGCTCGTCATTTTGTCGCTCTCTCAGCTCCTTGGATCTTGGAACATCGCTGCTCCCAACGCACCGTTTTGAAGGGCCTATCCATTCCTTTTAAGGCCATCCCGCAGTCTAGCTCGAGTTCGCCTCGCGGGCGATTAAATTAATAGGGTAGCTCAGGTGGAGATCTATCTCCAAGGTCCTAGACTACACCGCCTGCATTATGCATGCCAGCTGCGCGGAGAGCTACACTACTTTGCACTACCCTTACTAGCATACACATAAGTAGTAGCAGCACAGTACCTTGGTCTTGGCTGTTCTGCATGTGGAAGAACGTCACCCACTGTGACGACGATCTTGTGAGACTGTTCGCAGGGTCCTTGGTGGCCACATGTCTATCTGATTGACAGCCCTGTGAATCTGTGTTACGATAAGATCGCTAATTGCTCGACACGAGGGCAAGGCAAGGAGGACCTTCACCTAAAAGCCTCTTTGCTCAACATTTAATATCGTCAGCATCATGGCTCTCCATGTGAATGGAGACCATACCGGCGCCCTACCAAATGGTAGGGTGAATGGCGACATCAAGACTCTCTTAGCGACAACGCTCTCGTCTAGTCACGATATGGGTTCTAAACCATTTGTCCAGACGCCTATCGCCATCGTTGGCATGGCCTGTCGTCTACCTGGACGCTGCGCAACCCCAGATGATTTCTGGAACTTCATGATGAAGGGGGGAGTCGCTGCTAACACACCACCGCCGAATCGCTTCAACTTGGCTGGCCATTTTGATGCTTCAAGAAAACCTCAGACAATGAAAACGCCTGGCGCCATGTTCATGGAAGACGTAGATCCAGCAGACTTCGATGCCCAGTTCTTCAGCATAAATAACTCAGACGCCATCGCAATGGACCCTCAACAAAGAAATCTAATGGAAGTGACATACGAGTGCCTGGAAAACGCCGGTATGCCGATGGAGAAACTCAGCGGGAAGCGAGTAGGATGTTTGGTGGGTGCCAGCGCTGTTGGTTCGTGCTTCCCGCCAGCTCAATTGGAGACGTGTATATCGCTAATACATGTAAATATAGACTACTATGATATGGACCTTAAAGACGTCGAAGATAGAACAGACTCTCCCACAATAGGGTCCAGTCGCTCCTTATTGGGTAACCGTATAAGCCATTTTCTCAATGTTCATGGACCTAGGTAAGGTGGCCACATAGCTTTATGGAAATGTCGACATCCCCTTCATAGTATTGACGCTCGGTTTAGTATGTCTGTCGATACGGCCTGTTCGAGCGCACTTACAGCCCTCGACATGGCGTGTCTGTACCTTGGAAATAATCAGGCCGACGCCATGTTTGTGGGTGGCGTGAACATGTATCTAAGCCCCGAAAGAAATGAGGATCCGGGCAATATGCGAGCAGCAGCATCACCAACAGGAAGATGCCATGTCTTTGACAGCAAGGCAGATGGTTACGTTGCGGCAGAGGCTATCAACGTCGTCTTCTTGAAACGGCTTCAAGATGCCGTGAGAGACGGAGACCCTATCCGTGCCGTCATCCGCGGCACTTCAACAAACAGTGCTGGTAGAACACCGGGCATTTCGCAGCCTAATCCGAAAGCCCAAGCCGATGCAATTCGCGATGCTTATGCGAACGCAGGTTTCCATGAAGCAGATCTGGTTGATACTGGATATCTCGAGTGCCACGGTACTGGCACTATCGCTGGCGATCCGATCGAGATTGAAGGTCTATCAACAATCTTCGCACCCTCACGGTCAAAAGACCAACCCCTGGCAATAGGGTCAGTCAAGGGAAATGTCGGACATTCAGAAGCGGCGTCTGGCTTGACCAGTGTCATAAAAGTCGTGCTTTCAATAGAAAACGGGAAAATTCCGGGAACGGCGACTTTTCTCGATCCGAATCCCAGAATCAACTTCGAAAGTTCCAAGGTCAAGGCCTTCTACGAGTCTATCAATTGGCCACTCAATACAAAACGCCGGGCTAGCATCAACTCTTTTGGATTTGGTGGTGCAAATGCGCATGCTATTCTCGAGAGTCCGGAATATCTAACAGGGAATTCACTACCTAAATATAAAAGTTCTTACGTTAAAACCGAAACTATTGACGACGACTTCTTTAGTTTTGATGATAGCGCGCCAAATAAGAAACAGTCAAAACCCAAACTGATAGTCCTTTCGGCAAATGATGAAGCAGCTCTTAAATCCTCTATGAGCCGATTGGCGTCTCACTTACTACACCCTGCAGTCAACGTCGAGTTGGATGATTTGGCATATACCCTATCCGAGCGGCGGAGCAGGTTATACCATAGAGCTTACAGCATACAGAAGGACACGCGACTGAGCCCTGCCTCGTTTGTTACGGGCAAAACGTTCAATCGCAACGTGAACATCGGACTAGTATTCACCGGTCAAGGCGCGCAGTGGCCAACAATGGGCAAAGATCTCATACAGACTTTCCCTGCTGCGAGGAGAATGGTAGAGGCTCTTGATGGAGTCCTGATGAGCCTACCCGACCCTCCTAAATGGACCTTAATGTCCAAACTAGTCGACGAGAAAGATGCTGTGGTTCTACGAGACCCTGAGTTCTCACAACCCATTGTCACCGCCCTCCAACTGGCATATCTTGAGGTTCTATCGGATTGGGGAATCAAGCCGGCAGCTGTCGCGGGTCATTCATCAGGAGAGATTGCTGCCTCTGTTGCAGCTGGTTACATCACAGCTGAGGCTGCTATAAAGATCGCGTTTTTCCGCGGCCGGGCTATCAAGGAGTTACGTGCAGGAAAGAAACTCGGAATGCTTGCTGCGGGTATCTCTGCCGACGCTGTTCAAGAATACATTGATAGCAGCGACGATCTCGTCCAGGTTGCGTGTGTCAACAGTCCGCGGAGCGTGACTCTCTCGGGCACTGCATTGGCTTTGGAGCGAGTAATGGAGAGATTACAATCAAAGGATCACTTCGCCAGGATGTTGCAAGTTGATTTTGCTTACCATTCCGATTATATGAGCGATATTGCGATTAGATACGCTGAATTACTGGCGGCTCATGTTCAAATCAAAGCGCCCAGGCATCGCAATGTGAAAATATTCTCCTCGGTAACAGGCGATCTATTAACCGAGCCCGTTGATCTTGCCTACTGGGTACAAAACCTGCAGTCTCAGGTCCGATTCCAACAGGCAGTAGGGGCCATGATCGATGGAAAAGATGGAGTCAACTTCATGATTGAAGTCGGTCCCTCAAATGCTTTGGCTGGTCCAGTCTCGCAGATCTGCGAGAGCGCATCTCACCTTACATTACAGCCACATTACACTTCCGTCTCTAAGAGAGGTTCAGACACACTTATGGCACTATATGGTGTAGCTGGAAACCTCTTTACGGTCGGTGGCACCGTAAATCTCGAGCGAGTCAACGAACTACATAACAGCTCCCCTTCGACGTTGATAGACCTTCCCAATTATGCGTGGAATCGCTCCAAGAAATACTGGCACGAAAGCTTGGCAAGCAAAGACTGGCGATTCCGCCCCTTTGTCAAGCACGATCTCCTGGGCACCAAGATCCCGGGTACTTCGTGGCAATCCCCTGTGTGGAGGAACAAGCTCAAGCTCGCGAACAATACATGGCTAAACGACCACAAGCTAAGCAATAACACCGTCTTCCCTGGTACCGGGTATATCTGCATGGCTATGGAGGCCATGTATCAGACTACTTATATGACAACCTGGAAGGGAGACGCCCCTCAGTCCTATACATACCGACTCCGGGACATCAAGTTCCTGAAAGCGCTTTTCCTAGACGAGTCTGATGATGCTCCCTTAGTTGTACTCACTCTAACACCTCCAGTCGGGTCTAACCCATCGTGGTTCCAGTTCAAGATAACAGCAGAGAAGCTCGGGGTCTGGAACGATCACGCAACAGGGTTTATCCGCATTGACAGCGACTTCACCGTAAAGGGGGCAGAAAAGGCTGCCCTGAAGCCTTTCGATTACCCAATGTCGAACGGCAACTGGTATAAGAAAATGCGTGATTACGGTTTCAACTTCGGCCCATCTTTTCAGAAAATTATAGCAATGGAATCTGCTACTAGCACGCGAAAGGGTCGATCAAGGGTATCGCTACAACCACCTACTTCTACATATACTCAAAGCCCATATGCACTGCATCCTGCTTGCATGGATGGCTGTTTCCAGAGTGTAACGGCTACATGGGATGATAATGACTCCAACAATACCGACACTCTGATTCCTCAGCAGATCGACAGTCTTACTGTCCCCTTTCACTCCGACCATCCTGAAGAAGGCATTTCAGTTGCTCGCTCTGATTTTATTGGAGTCGGACGAAGAGAGGTCATGAGTAACCACGCGTTTTCGTGCGCTGTGTACCATCCAACCGGCGGCGACTTGTTATTAGATATGAAAGGCATTCGATATGCGAAATTGGGAACGTCAGACGTCATTGCTGCGCCGCATAAATTTTGCCAACTCGTATGGGATGCTGATATCACTCTTGTTGACGAGTCTGGACTCCAAGGGCTCATCAACGAGACTTTAACGGGGTCAAACCGCGAAGGCGTTGAACAAGACTTACTTGTTGCGCAGAGACTAATCAATCTGGCCACACACAAAAATCCTCAATTGAACGTTGTCGAGTTTAACCTTGACCTCAATGATGACTCTAGTCTCTGGTTTGATAACGAAAGTTCCGACAGCATAATACGAAGTGCTTTCTCACAATACACTCTTGCGCTGAGCAGCGTCGACGCGCTAGTCAAAGCGCAGCAGAAATACAATACCGGCTCGCAAACTGATTACATCGTCATAGATGCTGATCAGGGGCTGACACCTATCAACACGAAATTTGACCTGGCTATTGTCAAATTGCCTTCCACCCCATCGCCTATGCTCGACCAATTGACACTTCTCCAGGATTGGCTGAAGGATACTGGTATCACGCTATTTTTGGATAATGCGTGCAATTTGAAATCTTCCCAGTTCTCAGACAATTTATCTGGCGTCAAAACATTATGGAGCTCAGGCTCGATAGCTCTCACTCGCAAAGAACTTCCTACCACAAGCTCGCCCTCTCAAGATCTAGTGATCCTGCAATTCAACAGCGAACACCACCACAGTATTAAGGACATGTTTGCAAGTTCGAAGTGGAACGTTTCCATAGCGAGCGACACAGCTTCCATCCCGCCAGGAAGCAAAGTGGTTGTTCTAGACGAACTTCAGAAGTCAGTGATGACCAACCTTGACAAACAGCAATGGGATACCCTGCAATACTTAGTAGAAAAGGAATGCCATATTCTCTGGGTCACTGCAGGCGGACAAGGCTCCGTGACCGACCCAGACAAAGCCCTGATAAACGGATTCTTCAGGACGCTCCGTAACGAAACACCGTTTTTGACATTATTGAATCTCGACGTGGAGAATGCGTCAGGAGAAGGTACCATCAGAGCCATAACGAAATGCGTCGACTTCTTTAGGGATACAGAGAAGAAGAATCACACGGATAATGAGTACACGGAACGTAATGGAGTGTTAAGAATAAATCGTGTACTTCCAGATGTTGTTCTTAACAAATCCCATGAAGAAGATTCCGCTGGCCGACCTCCCGAAATGATTCCATTTCAGAGCACACCAGGCACGATCAAATTAAGGGCAGAGCGTGTAGGAAATCTAGATTCCCTACAATACAGCGAAGTTTCCGTTGAGTCGCCCCCTCTCCCAGGTGATTGGGTAGAGATTGAAATCATGGCATCTGGCGTCAACTTCAAGGACGTTGCCAGCGTCATTGGACTTGTCCCAGAAAACGAACACCTCCTTGGCGGCGAGGGCAGCGGAGTCATCAGACAGGTTGGCTCGAGCATGAAGGATTTCATCAAGGGCCAAAGAGTCGCGTTCTTCAAGAGAGGCTCGTTCGGAAATCGCGTGCAAGCCAGTTCCAAAGTAGTCCATGCTATTCCCGACTCTATGACGTTTGAAGAAGCAGCTACGCTCCCCTGTGCGTTCGCAACTTCGATATATGCCCTAATTCACATGGCGCGGATCAAGAAGGGAGATCGCGTCCTCATCCACTCGGCTACCGGCGGTGTCGGAATATCGGCTATTCAAATCTGCCAGTACTTTGGTGCTGAGGTAAGAGACACCCTGCTCCCATTGTTGTGATGCTTATAAACTAATGTGCTCACAGGTCTACGCAACTTGCGGCACACAAGAAAAGCGCGATTTCTTGACGTCGCAGCACGGAGTTCCAGATGAGAATATCTTTAATTCAAGAAACTCTCAGTTTGCGGAGAAGATACTAGATAAGACGGACGGATACGGCGTTGACATCATTTTGAACTCTTTAGCAGGTGATCTGCTGGATGAATCATGGCGCATCATCGCGACTGGAGGAACAATGGTTGAAATCGGCAAGAAGGATATCCTGGATCGGAATGTGCTATCTATGGAGCCCTTCAATCGTAATGCATCGTTCAAAGCCCTAGATTTATCACATGAGCAGATCACCGACGATATGCTCTCTGGGTACGTACCTCTGCCGGATTATATATAACCTCCTGTGGTTCCGGTACACGCTTTGACGCAACAACCCATGAACTGACATTATCGCAGCCTTCTGAATGAGACATTCGATCTTTTCCAGCAGGGTCACATAAAACCCATATCGCCCACCCGCGTCTTCCCATTCGACCAGATCCCCAGCGCACTCCGTCTCATGCGCAGTGGTAAACACATCGGAAAGCTGATCATCAGCCGAGCCGAAGATCCTGATTTCGAGGTATCAGTCCGTCGGGCCCCGCGCAGCATCAAAGTCCGCGACGACGTCTGCTACTTGATCGTGGGAGGGTTGCGCGGTCTCTGCTCGACGCTGGCGATATCCCTGGCCAAGAACGGCGCTAAGCACTTAGCTGTGTTATCACGCAGCGCCCAAAACGACGAGAGATCGCGGTTGGCGATGGCTAGGGTCCGCGGTCTCGGGTGTGAAGTTAGTATGATACGTGGGGATATCACGAATGTGGATGATGTGAGAGCCGCTTTCAAGGCTACCACCGCGCCTATCGCTGGTATTATCCAAGGAGCCATGGTACTTAATGTGAGTATTCAAGGAGACTTACCCTATCGTCACGCGTTGTGGATGTCAAATTAACAACGAAATCTAGGATCGTCCTTTCAGTTCCATGACGATAAATGAGTACCACGCCACGCTGCAGTCCAAGGTAAGGGGCACATGGAACCTCCACCAAGTCTCCCTCGAGCAGGACCTTTCTCTGGAATTCTTCACCCTCTTATCAAGTGTGTCCGGTTTATACGGCAGTCTCGGCCAAGCCAACTACGCCGCGGCAAACACCTTCCTCGACGCCTTCGCCTCATACCGCCGAGGTCTCGGACTCCCCGCAATTTCCATCAATCTCGGCGTCGTCGCCAACGTCGGCTACCTTGCCGAGCACGACGACCTGATGAACCGCTACGACGAAGCCGTCTGGCAACCCGTCACCGAGAGCGTGCTCCGCGACACGCTAAAGCTATCGCTGCAACAACAAGAGATCCTTCCCGTCAACGCTCAGAGCGCCTCTCACATGATAACCGGTCTCCGCGTCCCGCAACCCAGTGCCTCCCAACTATCCCGCGACGCGCGCTTCGCCGGCCTGTTTTCTTTGGACCATGCCGCAGACAGTCCGGATGCGAGCGCCGAGGGCACGAAGGACCTCGAGTCGATCCGCGCCGTGATCCGCTCCAAGGCAGGCGCCAAGGTCATCCTCGACAAGACGGCCGAGGCCATGAGCAAGTACTTCATGCGCATCCTGCGGGTCACGGACGCGCTGGACTTCGCGCGGCCGCTGTCTGCGTACGGCATTGACTCGCTGGCTGCCGTCGAGGTGCGCAATTTCTTGAAGGTCGAGCTTAGTGTTGAGCTCACGACGCTGGAGATTATCAATGCTACGTCGCTGTTGTTTATCTGCGAGAGGATTATCGAGGAGGTGTCGCGGTTGGCGTAGTGTTGGTTGCTGTTAGATGATGGAGAGGTTGATTTCGTGATGTTTAGGTAGTTTGCGGTGGAATTTTGATGATATTAGAGGGTGCTGTGGGTGAGCGTTATCGTTTGGAAATATTTACGGTTGAGGTTTATAAAGAGAAGAGATTGGATACATTTATAGAAACACGTTTTGTCACAGGGTAAATAGACGAACATCTGATATACACATCCTATCCTCATGCTTCGATCCAGAGTGATAGGATTGAGAGTGAGGGCAGGAACTCAAGGCTTCTACCACAAGTAATGTGCCACCACCCGCATAACTCAGTCATCCAGGTCAGGCCTTTATAAATGAAGACAGACCTGTAGCCTAGCACAAGTACTCATGGCCGAGTGGTAGAGTTCTGCGCCCTCTATGACCACACGATAACCAAAGTTTAGATACGGTCCCAGCTAGACTTTGGACTGTACCTTGACCCAAAGGAGGCAGCCCAACCCTAGGGGACGCCCAGGGGGAGGGAGTGCTACCTTAGGCTGAGGTACTTCCAACAGTCGTCCGAGGTGCATCGGTGCTGGATAACGTCCGCAAAGAAATACCCATCAATGCGAAAGCAGGGCGCGTTGTAGCTTAGGAACTTCGATACCTAAGGCAAGGCGAGTAATGATATTTTTCTCTTTTTTGCCCTTTCACTTTCTTCCTTCTCACATCTCCTATTCCTAGATCTTGGCCATCAATATCTTATGATCTAGAAGGTTGGCTGTTTCTCGCCAGAGGTAAAGTAGCTTGGTTCAAGGTGTACCTGACGATGTTGCCGGGGAGGTCAGGTATGTACCTAGGTCCTCAACATCATACTTTGAACCTCCTGAGTCTATCTACCTAGGTAAGTTTGCATACATTACCAGGCACTGGGGGTTCGATTCCCTTGTTTAGCACAACTTATCTTTTTAATTTTCCCTCTTCTGTCCGAGGTTTTCATGACTACAGTTTCCGAGTATGTCTTCGCTGAGGCTACACTTCACTTATCATCCTCATCGATATCTCATAAATACGTAACGGCAATTGTTCAACTTTGTTTTCAACGTCATTGGTCCGTTACAGGGCTGAGTTAAGTGGTAATAACAGTGAAATGATAAAAATAGGTCTTGTCTTGCAAGGTGCCACAAGCCTCAGTCAAACGTTCACCACTCAATTCATGACGACCGATGAAAACATGCACCTGATTGTCAGTAACTAATGGAAAATATGATCATCACTTGCCTTAAAACCGACCAAAGGTTAATTACCTGGGAAAGTTGGAAATCCAGGCAAGGAAGGTTCAGTCTAGTTGCGTAAGTCATCTGCCTACGCCTCCCATTTCTCCAACGCCTCATTTAAGCTCCGTCATTCATGACTTGAGATGCAGCTTTGTACCTAGTTTCAAACAAGACAATACCGATGTAAGAGAGCACCTAATTATGTCCGTTAGATCAATTTCCAAACCATTCGAGTATACGCGGCACAGTGCGGTGGCTTAGGCATTCTGCACTTCTTATCTTCAAATTAATCATACTCAGAGAAGAGAACACTCAAGGAAACTAGGTGAGCACCACGTAGAGTTACTCATCCCCTTCATCCCCGGCGAGTAATCTCACTCACACTCATTACAATCGCGACAAACAGACATGCCTCAAAATCATTTTCTGAACTCATAACATAAGCCATCACCATCAAGACACTGAGATGAGCTCATCTATTTAATAATGCGACAAGTTGTACATACAGTACTACGCACTATGAGTCTTGTATCTCATCATTGGCAGCCTAAAGAAAAGGATTGCGCAAGCGCGAAGGTTTAAGCTTTCATAGATGATCCATCTTCCCAAGCAGGTATATAGATTCGTGCTCAAATTTTATATTCATGGCTGCTCATGGATGAAATAAGATAATAGATTACGACATATTGATATCTACCTGAGTTAAGTAACGGATCTGCGGGCTAGTCTGCTCAAAAAGGCAGTTGACCGCACCACCCTCATTCCCGCCATCTCTTGGAACGTTGCAATCAAACACGGCAACATCCTGGGCACCGGTGTACGGTGCGAGATGCGCAGCGCGGGGTATGATTGATCAATTGATAAAGATGTCTGATAAATTACCTAGGTACTTGCGCGTTGCAAGGTCCACGGCTTAGTATAAGGTTGGTCTGAGGGCAGATAGGTAGGATAATTACCAGGTCTGTCAATAACTGATAGAGAAGCGGGATGAAGTCCTCTTTCTTTTTCCGCGGCCTCTTCACCGCGCTATCAATCGTGTTCGCATCGGCGCAAGACGACCCAGACACGGGGGAGCACCCGGATTGGCCGCGCTGGTGCGGCAAGGTCTACCAGGCTGGATACCCATCGTTTGAGCCCGGCGGTCACACAGTCGCGCCGCCGACAAACGACTCGACATTTCTGCACGTGCAATTCAAGCCGCGGTACAGTCTGTACCTCTCCACTGAGAGCAAGGCGTCGTTTGTAGTGAACGCCGCGCTATCGCCTTGGCATGGAGAGGAATACGTGAATTCGACGAGCGATGGCAGGAGCAGCGCGGAGCCGTTCACCGAGCTCGTGTTCTCGATCAATCTTGTCGACGACGACACCCCGCTCGTGCAGAATCGGATCGCGATCAACACGACGGGTGCTGAGTTTGAGTTCGAGCTGGCTGGACTCGAGCCTAAACTAACATCTTATGAAGTGGTATTATTTGGTGCCTCGGTGTATGGTGATCACAATTACACCGCTACGAGCGAATTGCTCTATCTCCCTGATAACCCCGAGGGCAGCGCGACGAAGATCGACAATGTGAAAGGCGGGTTACTCTTCAAGAACGCGCAGACGGGGCACGAGTTCGTCCCGTTGCTGCCATATGGGTACTACGGACTATATAACGGGTCAAACGACACGGCAGCCAGCGACGAGTTCGTGCGCGATTACACGAGCGGCGGGACAGGGTTGAATGCCATCGTCTCGCTGGCCGGGTTCGCGGACACGAATCCCGTCTACGACAGCATGGACCAGCAGGGTCTCCATTTCATGTTCGACTTGCGCGGGTCCTACAAGAATCTCACGGAGACAGAGCAGCGCGTGAACACGATCAAGCACCACACCTCGCTTTTCGCGTACTGGACAGCGGACGAGTAAGCCGCGATGCATCTCATAAAACATTCATCCCCTCACATTCTTCATTTTTACATCAAATACTAACAACCCCCCCAGACCCGACGGCTGGCAAGTCCCCTTCGACAAAACCCCCGCAGCCCAATCCCTCATCCACGCCCTCGACCCGTACCACCCAGTAGCCATAACCCTGAACTGCCAAGACTACTACTTCGGCGCGTACGCCTCAGGCGGCGACATCCTAATGGAAGACGTGTACCCGATCGGGATCAACAGCACCTTTTCCAAATGGGGCACGGCATGCAACGCGACGCTCGGGGACTGCGGGTGCGATAACTGCGCGGGCGTCGTGCAAGACGTGTCTTCGCGCCTCGACGACCTCGCGACGTACGAGGCCCGCCTCGGCCGCTGGCCGCTGCCGAAATTCCATAACCCCCAGGTCTTCCACGGCGAGGACTACTGGTTCCGCGACCCCACGGCCGCCGAAGCGAGGGCCATGAACGCGCTTGCGTTTAATCGGGGTGCGACGGGTATTTTTGGATGGACGTGGCCGGGCAGTAGGGCGCTTTTCGAGGTCCATTCGCGGATGGCGGGCGTGGTTACTCGTGCGCCGGTGGTGGATTTCTTGCTTGGTGGGAAGCCTGGGCCGTTGGCTGTCGAGGGGTTTGAGATTGTGGACGCGGCGTGTTGGATTCGGGGCGATAGGATGATGGTGTCTGTGGTACATGGGGGGTACGATGATATTCAGGATTCCGTGTCTGTGCCGCTCCCTGTTTCTGCGACGGGCGTCGAGTCGGTGGTGTTCGGGGGACTCGCGTGGCAGCTGTTAGGTGGTCAGCTCGTCATCGATGAACTGCCTGCGATGTCGACGAGTTTCATCATCTTGAATATTGAAGTCGCGACGTAGTGTTTTACAACTAGTCTTTAAAATCAGAATTAATTTTGTGTATATTCAGTGTGAAGATGATTTGATATGTACATGGAGCGCATGAGATAACATACGTATTGAAATGCTAGATGGGGAACTAAATGTGAATTTTGCAATTGCGATAACCCAATACCGTGAAGTGTTATATTACATTGTGCTGCACCGTCCTTCCTCGCCACTCCTCTCAAATCAGTCAGAGGCCTCATACAACCCGAGCGAGTTCAACAGGCTCTCATACGAAGCATTGTCAACATAGGCTCCTTGGAACCATCTTTCGCCCGACGTCGTATCAAATGCTTCGCGGCCGTGCAGTGGCCGGTGATTATCGAAAATAGCGCAATCTCCAGGGGCCATTTTGTATTTGTACACATTATTGCCAGCCTCCATTGTGGTTTTCAGCTGCCTGGCTGCCTCATGCCATTGCAACCATTGCTGTCTCCCTGGCTCCGTCAATGCGTCCGGCTGGACGGGTTTCTGGAAATGAGGCGACCACCACAGCTTTCGCCCCGAGAGTACGGGGCGCGAATACTGTTCTAGATGGCGGCCCTTGTCGTAGTGGTAGGTTACCAGACGTTCGCGGAGAACCTTGGCCATCTGCGGGTTTCGCTCGCGGAACTCTTGCTCGACATGATACCCGTCACAAAAGAGGGACTCTCCTCCGCTACATGAGTTCTTGAGACAATGGAGGATTTGGATGCGCGGACAGTTCTGTAAGTACAGGAGATCTTGATGCGGGCCCAGATATCCGTTGGTGTATGCGATATTCTCGGCATTTGGTTTGGACCTGACACTCCAAGTTGGCCCCCAGAGTGTATCCTGAAGACCACCTATGCGAGCAGCTATGGCTTTCACAGTATCTTCGTTCGTGGGTACATCGCGCAGGAATATGAGTCCATATAAAATCAGAGCGATCATAGCCTGGCGATGCTCGTCGCTATCTTCCATGAACGCCTTGAAGCTGATAGACGGCGATAGCTTTTCCATGCTCCTCCTATCCCACGGTATCGGGCTTACTTTTTGCGCCGGAGGTTGAACGTGGTTGAGCCACAGACTAGCCGGATACACCGAGACATGAGTGCCGTGAGTCAAGAAGTCATCTTTCCAATGCACCAGCAAGTTGCCAGCCTTGGTGACATCGACCTTGCTTATTTCAGGGTTAATAGAGACATCAGTGGAGGCAAAGTGCTTCTGCCCAGACGAAGGATCAACACATCGACTGCACGTGCATGCGTCGCGAAGCCAGGCACGATCTGTTACAAGTAGCTCAGATGGTTGATCTTTCACAAAATGGATTGGGCTGGTTGGGTCCGTAATGTCGGTGTTCCAACCGTAATGGTGGCCATAAGGCTTTATCCAGTTCTTTGTAGACAGGTGTTTTCTTATGACCAGACCTGCTGCCGATATAATCTCTTTTCGATTTGCGCCTGAGACCACGGAAGGCCGCAAAGGCTGCCGACTTAATTGTGAAAGTTGACGATGAGAGAAGGACAGGCGTTGGCTTTGAACACCGGATCGTAACGATGCATATATATTGCGTGATGCGAACCGCATCGAGCTACTCCGCGTGCAGGTAGCCGCTGAGGCCATTTTATAGTCGTCCCAAAAGCGAATATACAGTTAAGCAAGAGAAACAGTGAACCAACAACACCCGAGAATAGATGGTATTCAAACACCAGGATATAAATATACGAATGGAACAGACCGATAGGGAGAATAATCACGCATCTAACAGCAATATATACATACATATACATACACTACTCTGTACCTAATACACACTACCTATAACACACACTACACTCCACGATCCCCCCAAAAAAACGTATGACCTTACCCTGACCCCCTAGAGGAGCAGCTGTCACGCTGCCCGTGAGCTTCACGGACGTATGGAACTAATAGCTCACAGATACCCGGGGTAAAATGCAAAGAATGCAAAGAATCGGTCGGCTAAGTATTACCCCAGCCGACAGAAAGCTGGGGTTGGGACTTGGCGGCAGCGCTTGGCAGCGTTCCCAGGGCACAGACTCGCACAGACTGGCGAGACAGCGCACTAAGCTTCAGTGAGTTCTAGGCCCCTCAGAGCCCCTGTCCGCCTTATCGTTATCGATGCTACAGTGGGGCGATAGCGGGCGCATGCGATTGTAACCCAACTTTTTTCTAGTTGCTGCGTGCTGCTCGATTGTCGATGATACGGACCGAATACCCTGGCTGAGAACCAAAAGATTCATAACCCCCGAACCAGAGTTGTCCCACCCAAGATCCAGACAGCTTTCATCACCACAAGAAGACAATATGGCGGGCGCATTTACCAAGAAAAGGAGCCATGCTGATTCTGCAGCTGTCGGAAAACTGCAGAGACCAAAGAAGAAGCAAAAGAAAGTCCCCCAATACCATAGCGACTCGGAAGAAGACCTCGACAATGCTCTCGTCGACGACATAGCCTCGCTGTCAGGCTCCGATATTGACTCCGAATCAGACGCCGACATACCTGCCCCAAAAGCTGCGAGGATAAATAAGTCAAAACCCCCCAAGAAGAGCCTAGTCGAAGACGACTCCGACAGCCAAGATGGCGCCCACAGCGACGACAACGAGGGCGGAAACGACAGTGAGGATATAGAGGAAGAGGATGACTTTACAAACTCCGACGGAGAAACATCGAATATTGGCTCAAAATGGACAAAATCGAAACGCAATGACCCGAATGCCTTCGCTACTTCACTACAAAAGATTCTTTCTACTGTGAGTCGAGGTCTAGGAATCCACGAAACAACCCCTACTGACACACCCCGCGCATAGAAACTGTCCAATGCGAAAAAGTCCGACGCCATTCTGTCTCGTAGTGTAGACGCGCAGAAGGCCAGCCGAGAGATAGTCGACAAAGCATTAGAGACCAAAGCACGGAAACTTCTGTACGTGATAGACACTTTCGATATTATACTCCTTTTTACATCTCACTAGTTCCAAGTACTGACCCTCGCATAGTCGTGACCAGAAGCTTTTAGCGCAGGAAAAGGGCAGAGTTAAGGATGTTATGACCGGCGACAACAGCCAGGAGACGTCCACCGGAGAGATCATGCAGACTGAGCGACGATTACGGAAAACGGCTCATCGCGGTGTGATCATGCTATTCAGAGCTGTACGTGAAGCGCAAGAGAGGGCCAACGAGGCGGAGAGGGATGCCAAGAAAGAAGGCATCATCGGAAGTCAAGCGCGACAGGAGAAAGTGAACGAGATGAGCCGGCAAGGCTTCTTGGACCTGATCGCCGGCGCAGGTGGGAAACTCAGTAAAAACGGGATAGAGGAAGCATGAGGCGACATACGGCGTGAACCATAAATCATATATAATGACATTATCACGGCCCAGGTCTCACAGAGTTGAGTCTATCTTGGCCAACCTCCGGCATTGACCAGGGTTCTTCTGTTATACACGCTTTGTACAGTTTCCAATCCATCTGTCGATTCCAGACAAATATTTGACGCCTTGGAACCTAACCTGGGGGGGGGATATAAACCACGGTTTCCTGGAAGAAAAAAGACCAACATGATTTCTATGCGCTGAAATTTTTTGTATCATTTCGTCATTATTTAAAGTCGCTGGCCTGCAGGTTCCTCGTCATCGAAGGCAACTTAACCCTCAAACCGTCCAGCTCCTTAGTCATAATCACCTGGCAGCCTAGGCGACTCGTCTCGGTGAGGCCAAAGGCAAGGTCGAGCATATCGTTTTCGTCATCTCCGGGCTCGGACATCTTGTCATAATAGTCTTCGTCGAGGACGATAACGTGGCAAGTCGAGCAGGCGCACGAGCCGCCACATGCGCCCTCCATTTCCAAGTCATTCGCCTGCGCGATGTCCAGCAAGTTGTCGCCCGCCGAAACAGCAATCTTGTGTTCTTTCTCTTCCTTGTCGATGAAGGTGACGTATAATCTAGAAGCAATTCGTCAGCACAATGTGTAGACAAACCACAACGCCGAAGAAGATAAAATCCTACTCCTCGCCAGGTTTGGGTGGTGTTATGTGTCCGTGTCGCTGTATCTGGGATGTGCTGAAAGGTCGGAGGGGCGAGCTTGAGAAGGCGGCGCAGCTGCGAGGCGAGCTTATTATGTTGCGACGGGTTGGTTTTGCGGAAAAGCTGCGAGGCGACGAAGTTAATGTAGGATTGGCCCGCAAGCTGCGAAAACTCCTTGCTAGGATCCTGGAAGTCGACATATTGTAGCTCTACTTGTAGGGATGCCGCAGCACCACAACAAGACTCGAGTGACAGCAAACGGAGGGCGGAAGAAATTATAGACGGGGAAACTAAAAGAAGAGCCCGATATATCGGAGTGTTGCAACCCGGCTCGAGAGGTTATGAGGGAGGGATTATAGGTACACGGCGCAAATGCAAATTATATGTAAAATAATTGGCGCCAACAGTCCAGTCTGCCTGTTAGAGTTGGCTTGTCAGATGCATATGTAGGTATAATACATGGAGTGTGTGAAGAGGGCCAACAACCTCGAATCGTCAACCAGTCCGAATCGGATGCGATAGGAAAATATCTAGTTCTAGCTCGGATAGGCTCGGCCATTTGCTATGCCAGGCCGATGATTGGTGAGCTTAACCCCGAGAGACGGGTTGCTGTACTGTCGCACTGCCACTGTAATACCCCTCTAAGTAAAGCCTCTAAAGCCTCTGAAGCCTCTTGATGTCCTGTAAGTTAGCGGCGACGCCACGGCGCCAGCGGCCCACGGCGGTAACGAGAAAACAGACGGCGCGGGGCGGGACATTTTCTTATCAGCCCCCCTCTATCGCCCATTATCAGTCTCTATCGCAGCGCTTGAAGTGACATGGGTTTGATTTTATTTCTCGTCATGCAAGGTCCCAAACCCCCCATTGCGAATCAATCGGGCTCCTCACCGCCACCGTCGAATTCATCCCACCATTCTTCGCTTCCCGATTGCAGCCGCCTCGCTGAAGAGAATGCATGGTAGATAGGCTGTGATTGAAAGAAAATATGGCTTCAAGCGGAGATGGCGTGAATCCTCTCCGACCGTACTACATTCCCCCAAGGATCGGGGAGCAGACCGGCTCCCTTCCCCGGGCCAATCCTTTCTCCAATTCCACGACAGCTTCGTCTGCCGCAAATGCGACGACATCATCGGCCAAGTACGCCTCCAAGGCACGCGACATATTCCCCGACATCGACTACAAAGATCATCTCGACGACCTATCACCGTCTACCATCGAATCAATAAAGCAATTCATCGACGAGCTATTATGGAAGTACACATCGGTATTCATGGCCCAGCCTTTCGAGGTAGCCAAGACAATACTTCAAGTGCGAATCCAAGATGATTTGGGTGGACTAAATGCGTCGCCGGCCGAAGTCGTAAGACCGAGCATTGCCAGCCCGAGGAGCTCTATATATGGCGAGGTATGATGATATGCGACGACACTCTGGTGTAGAAACGAGATAGACACACACAGCTACTAAACTATTACTCTAGTTTCCCGACTCAGATTCAGATCCCGATGAACCTGCATACTTTACCTCCAGCGCTCCATACACACCCACCCCTTCCTCTCGTCGCCGCCGGAGAGGATCAACACCGCCGCCGGAATCGCCGCAACTTAATGCCAAGGCCTCTGTTCCCTCTTACCAAATAGCATTGCGTCGACCGGATTCAATCCTAGACGTTATATCACAGCTTTGGTCCAAGGAATCAGCTTGGGGAGTGTGGAAAGGAACCAACGCAACCTTTCTATACTCTATACTTCAGTCTCTACTAGAAAACTGGGGGCGGAGTCTGCTCAGTGCGTTACTGAATGTACCTGATTTGGGAGTCAAGGACGACGTCGATAGACTAGTGGACATCGCCTCCCCTTATCCGTGGGCCTCGTTATGTGTTGCGGCAGCGGCCGCTGTCACTACTGGCCTTATCCTTGCTCCCCTCGACCTTATCCGAACACGTTTAATAGTGACTTCCACATCACGAGCACCCAGACGAACACTGGCATCTCTACGGTCTCTACCCTCATGGGCCTGCCATCCGATGCTCATCGCACCCACAATCTTGCACTCTCTCGTACACCCATTCATAACACTTTCAACGCCCCTTGTTCTCCGCTCACAATTCCTTGTCGACCGTGATCTATCTCCCATCACATTCTCCATTGCCAAATTCTGCACCTCATGTGCATCTTTATTCGTCAAGCTTCCACTCGAAACCGTGCTGCGTCGAGGACAAATGGCTGTATTAGCAGAGCCCTCATACCTAGAAGCCCTTGACAAGACAAGCAAGATGGAGACAATTGTACCACCGGGTCCCTATGATGGCGTTGTCGGGACCATGTATACGATTATGTCAGAGGAAGGTTCCAGGTCTATCGCTGTGCCGGCTAAGAACACACAGCGCAAGAAGAACAGGGCTAATAATAATAAGCCCGTCGATGTAATCTACAAAAAGGGGCAAGGTCTAAATGGTCTATGGCGTGGGTGGAAAGTGAGTTGGTGGGGACTAGTCGGTCTATGGACTGCCAGTATAACTGGCGGTGGAGGCGAAGGCGAGTTTTAAAGCACATCCAAGCCAGGATTACCACGTTCTTGCGATCAGTGTGTACTTCGAAAAGGGCATTGGCCTGGGGCGGTTATACCCAAGACATTCTTTGTTGGGGGGTTCGATTGAATTTTGTGATTACGAAAGCGCTTATGAGCTATGGCATGATATCCCTTATCACTTATTGTACGAATTACTCACTCAATACAAAACTTTCAATGCATACATATAGATGTAGTAGTGTACTTGCCATTATCCTTGCCTTGACCTCTGTTATGATCCTCTATTATGATCCTCTGCCATTGAAGATCATGATCGACCAAGATCGATGTCTTATGATCGACCAAGATCGATGTCTTATGATCGACCAAGATCGATGTCTTATGATCGACCGACGATTACTGCCGCTTACCTACAGTTACATCCCGTACGTTGACTCTGGTTGACCAAGCATGTACACTACGACACTCCAAGCCACGCCTTGTTATCAATTAACCTGAAGCTGGCCTCCTAGGTATGCCATGACCAGTCTAGGATTACCTCGCTTAGCATTGCTGACATTTCTTGGATTTCGCGATTCTCGCCGGGGTGGTGGTTCCCACTTATGTTCAGATGAAACAGGTGGATTCGCGCGCTCTTGAAATATCGAACGGGGGCCCCTCCCCCATCCATGGACTCACTCTGAGACGGTGTATTCCGCGAGTTGACTCGTCATCGGCATGCGCCTACCTACTCGATGCTGCTGCTGGTGAGTTCAAGCGTGGCATGTTTTGCGTAAACAAGATAGCGTCGTGATAAGTAGGGAATGGTCGCATGGCATTTTTCAACGGCTTCGCTATAGTACGATCACTAGATACCTACTTGAATTTGGTGAACGGAAGGACATTTACACGTATAATGAATGGTAATAGAAGCGAGAAGAAGGAAGATGCGGTCGTCTACTTACTTATGTAATGTCGCTAACCTTACTTAGTCAACCCATCGGCTAGTGTACCTGACTTCGTCGTTATAAGCGCCAGTGAAGATATCCCACGAATAACAACAGGTCTGACGATGTTCCCCTATGGCCCCGAAACAACGGGACCCGACCCCCTTACATGGCCCCACTACGCCGAGCCCAGGGACCGGGGTCCTCAAACGGTCGGCGATTGTTGCGGCTCTTGGGGGGCTTTTGGTAGCGGAAACGAATCCGAAGACTTTGACTTCTCACTTGTCACGACCCCTATAATCTCGTTTGATCCGCTTGCAGCCTGGGGACTATGAGCGGTGTACCATGTTGTTAACTACGGGGTCTGGAATGTCGACCCGAATTCCCGGTTCTGCCTTTGCCTAGTTCCTGTTGTTAGTGCTGTCATCCCAACAACGTCGTGAACGCCATGCCATGCCCCTGCTTCAACCCATTCTCTGTCGCGGCCTATACTCTCTTTAGCATGCTTCTCCTCACTGCCACACCCTCTGATTGACGGATTATGTATGTAGATAACGTCATGGAGCGCCTAGATCAGACTGCTTAAGCACTTCACCTCGAATAGAGGAATTATCTCCGAGCCGGGAGTGACGTCGTGAGACGGCCATTCCACTCACACCCCTGATACGTATCGAACTTATTCACACTGCTAGTTTGTAGCAGGCCTCGATGGAGTGGTCCACATCCTCACCAATCGTCCCCATCTACTGTCCATCTGATGAAGCTATGAACGACCCTGGCTTGGGTACCTTACTTAGATGGCCATGAGTGGACCTCTCAATGTCTGCGGGGGTCGGTTCCCAAGACTACCTACGCAAGTGCGAGCCGTGAGTCCATGAACTGATATCTAGTGATACTACTCTACGCAGAAGGGGGCACAGATATATAATAACGAGGTACACCTCCTTCAACGCCTCTCTTTCCTTCCTTCCTTTCTTCTTCACCACCGCCAACCATTGGTTTCTCGAAGTCGACCTTCTTTTTTTTTCTTCCTCGCTCACATTTCCATTCGTTCGCCTATCTCTCATTAGTGCCATTCTTTCATACTCCTGGTGAGAACTATTCTAGGATTCTCGACTGATTCCGCCAACAACACAACCGTTTAACCATTATATCACTTGTCACTGTTTCCACAGCTGTCGAATTTTGCCTTTTCATCCCAACTTTGTGTGTTCAAGAGAGAAAAGACCAGAACTCCCTTCGAGAAATAAACCAACCGACAAGATGCACAGCTTCCGCTACTCCATGCTCATCGCCTCTTTGGCCGGCGCCGCGAGCGTCGCGGCCCACGGCCACATCACCAACATCGTCATCAACGGCGTCTCGTACCAGACGTACGACCCCACCAGCTTCCCGTACATGCAGAACCCGCCCACGGTCGTAGGCTGGACCGCCAACCAGCCCGACAATGGCTTCGTCGAGCCCAGCGCGTACGGCAACGGCGACATCATCTGCCACAAGGCCGGGACCCCGGCCGGCGGCTTCGCCACGGTCGCCGCGGGCGACAGCATCTCCATCCAATGGGACACGTGGCCGGAGTCGCACAAGGGGCCGATGATGGACTACCTCGCCGCGTGCAACGGGGACTGCTCGGCCGTGGACAAGGAGAGCCTCGAGTTCTTCAAGATCGACGAGGCGGGGATCCTCGACTCGAGCTCCGCGCCCGGCCGCTGGGCCTCGGACGTGCTGATCGAGAACAACAACTCGTGGCTCGTGCAGATCCCCGCGAACCTCAAGGCGGGGCAGTACGTGCTGCGCCACGAGACCATCGCGCTGCACTCCGCGGGCCAGGCGAACGGCGCGCAGAACTACCCGCAGTGCGTCAACATCGAGGTCACGGGCTCCGGGACCCTGGTGCCCGCCGGCGTCAAGGGGACCGAGCTGTATGCGTCTGCGGACGCCGGTATCACGGTGAATATCTACACCAGCGGCCTGGACTACAAGATCCCTGGCCCGCCGCTGATCGAGGGCGTGCCGGCCACGGTCGAGCAAGTCCGTTCCGCGATCACGGCCTCGGCGAGCGCTACCGTCGGTTCTGGCAATGGCGGTGGTGCTGTTCCTACTACTGCCCTATCGTCCGCTACGACCCTTGTGACGTCTACTCGCGCCGCCACGACGACATCCCCTGCCGAAACGACTGTCGCTAGCACCACGGCGGCGCAGACGGCGACGACTACGGTATCTGGCGGCGTTGCGGCGCAGACGCTGTACGGACAGTGCGGTGGGATGAATTGGGATGGTCCGACGGCTTGTGCCGAGGGCACTTGCACGGAGTATAACCCGTATTACGCGCAGTGCGTCAACGCTTAAGCTGTTTTCTGCTTTCTGCTGCGAAAAGCGAAGAGCTGTTGTGATCCTTCCTTCTAAGTTGTACGCTTTTCTATTTAGCTATGAGTGAGGAGTTGTGTGTAGGAAGAAAGTGGTGAGCGTAGATGTGTATGCGCATGTGCGGCAAGAAAAGGAATAAGGAGTGGGGAAGGGAAGGGGGGGGGAAGAGGATGTAGGTGTGGTTACTTTGAACATATTGTTTTATCATTGTATGATATTTTTTGCATATACTTAGCGCCGGCTTGGATGGTTGGCTGGTCGAATACAAATTCCTTGTATCAGAAGATTTTTTTTTTAACAAGATACCATTTTTCTCGCTTGAATTGCTATCTGTGTCTTTTCTGTAGATTTATGAGAGAGATGTATACGAGGAATATGTTGTTGTGGGTTTGTTTATGGATTTGATATGTCTTTATTCTCAAGTTTGATCGTCCTTTACCAAGGATAGTGAATGGTCGTGTAGCTTACTTACTGAGCCGTCGAGTTCAGATGAAAAAACTCCCGTGATCTACACTGCATGATTGATCGTCGAAACACCCCACGTACGGGATCGCGCATATTGCCGTGTGTTTCTGGGTCTCTAGGATCAATGTTCTAAGAACATCAGTTTTAAATATGGCTAGGGAGAAGTGTAGCGTACGTAGAGTTAATTTCACATTATTCTCTCGTCATCCTCAAGTCTTGCAACTCTCTACCTAATAGCCACCAAAATAAACACAGTGCCAACTGTCGATGTCCAGAGGGTCTCCCGCGCCCGAATACGTGCTTCGGTAAGGATATCTGCAATGACGGTGCTGATACATGATTCCGGCGCCGACACTATCATTCACGAACTTTGTCCCTACAATTTCATCCGGGGCGACTCCCTTCTCGACCCAATCGACAATCGCAGCTAGAACGTTGTGTTCTTTGTCAAACGGGATGGCATACGCAGGTGCACTCCCTCCTTGCCCAACAGTCCAAGCACCCGGACCAGTGCCACAATGATACATGCCAGGGATCCTGAAGAAACGGTAGAATGTGTCCATCTTCTCCAGATCGAAGTCTGCTTCTTTCGCCAACCTTTCCCAAAACCGAACGGAATTCAGGCTTGAGATCTGCTGGTCTTGCTGTCCGTGATATGTGATGATCTTGCCCCCGTGATCTTGGAACGCACTCAGCGCATACGGCCAAGTGTCAATGTCGGCGGGGTTCTTCGCGACAGCTAGTGCGGCATCGTCTAGTGTGTACGTTGCCGGGTCCCACGATGGCTCTCCCAGTATCACGTACTTGAACCAGTCTACTGACGGGCCGTATGCCTTGCCCGAGTATAGTCCATCAGCAGCGAGTAATTCGCCTCCTGGATTCACCCTTGGGTACAAAAGCGTGCCATTCGGCCAGAGATAGTCACTGAATATCGCCTGAACCTTTTTAACCTGGGCTGCATTAAGACAATCCGTCGAAGTGCTGTTGTTGAACCCACACAGAAGCTGCTGTGTATCGACGTGGCAGAGTATCGGGTCTTCAATAATGCCGTCCTCGACTCCATCAATAATATCGCATTGTTTGAGGACTTCATTGTGTATTGTCGTCTTCCATGTATTTGGGGATATGAAATCTTCTGATTTGGTATCCCCTGTTATGGGAAAGAAACTGGCTCTCCAGGAGTAAAGGCTGTTAAAGTCGACAGCAGGCGCCCCGGCTACAATGCCGTCGAAATCCTCTGGAAATTTCTCTGCGTTCCCGATCCCTTGGCGGCCGCCCAGTGAACATCCTATGTAATAGGATTTTCCTATATCTTCATCGTAGAAAAGTGACGCGAGATTCTTTCCGACCTCAACGGAGGTATGAAGCCTGGTTGAACATTAGTAAGGGTCTGCCCATCGAGATGGTGGGGATCATCGACTTACGCTCTCCAACTGAAGTCAATCACAACATCCTCGTTCTTGTAGAAGGCTGCACCGCCGGTTCCATTATGGCCGTTATTTGTGCCGAAGGCTAGTTCTCGTCAGTATTTTCCGTGCCAACGGGGTGCCTCCTTTTCTTTTTTTTTTTTTTTTTTTTTTTTTTTTTAAAAAAAAAAAAAAAGGCGAAGTGCTGGGCAGGGTACATACTATCAACATGTTAGTCATGGCAGCTTCAATTCAATCTACTCGAGTGCCTTGAATAAAACCAGAACTGTACCTTGCGAATCCATTAGCAGCACCATATGCAATATCCTCATACTTGATACCTATCTCAAATCAGCCATACGCAATCAATTCCACGCTCAATGCAACTAACACCCATCAACGCCGCCATTCCCAGTAGCCAACGTACGCCCATTCCACGTCTCAGGAAGCCACAACTCGTAATGAAACCCCGACCGCTGCGACGTCGTGACCGACAGCGCAATTCGGCACAAGTCAACATCGACGGCTTGACTCGCCCGATTACACGAGGCGTCGTTGTCCGGGAATGCGAGGTTCGTCCCAGCAGTGACAAATTCAAGGCGGTTCAATGTCACGTTCGGGATATACGATTCCGGATCGAATGCGAGACATTTGCTCTTGAAATCGACAGCACCAACGCTCGTGCTTATCGCTAGGGCAAGAAAGAAGCGAGCCGCGGACAACCTCCACGCTATTCTAGCCATGACAGCACTTTCCTTCATTCACAGGCGATATCGAACATCAGATTCACAATACCCAGTATTCATCTCCTTGGATTACTCCGATAAAACTCCATTTTGTTACTATTCCCCAGCCGCATACCACTTGTCCGCAATTGATCATGTGTGCGGGGTCCAGCAGATAATTATTGGCTGCAATGCAAGGGATAAAGGGGACCGACTCGCCATTTCGGGAATGTGATAAAGGCCGGCTTCCCGTTATCCGAGTGACGACGGTCAAGACGACTTAGTAATATCAGTATTTTAGAGGATATGTTTGGCTTCGAGAGCTGATGAAGCCATCGCCAAGTTCGACTCGATAAGTTTCGCATGATTTGGCTTACTTCATGAGCAAAGAACACCATAATGTTTTCTTATCTGGGAAATTGTGGCAAGGGTATCATATAACTACATATTATATTCACATATAAACTTCGCGATCGACTTGCAAGAATCTGTACTCACCACCCACCACTGTGTAGGAGACAAGTTTGAGTCCTTCTCAACCTGCTAAAATATTACGACAGTATCACTTAAAGGTAAAGGTCATTTTGTGCAACTGGTTGAGCTTGGCAGTTTTTTTTTAGCTTTTTTTTGGTGGTTTCAATAGCTGGCACTTGAGAGTATATCTAGTAGGACTTCCCCCCTTTTCTGAGCTAGCTAGTTCAACCTGGCGTCGATCGGATCAGATATTTACAGGCATTGCGAGTAGTACTGGCTCTGGGCAGTGCAAGTTGATCCCGAAGCACAAGTCGAGCAGCCGCTGTAGCCCTGGCCACCGCATTGGCCCCATTTCGCGACTGAGCAGCCATCACTACCGCCTCCGTTGCCACCACCATTGCCACCTCCATTCTCGCCTCCGTTCCCGCCTCCGTTACCACCGCCGTTACCACCTCCGTTACCACCTCCGTTGCTGGAGCCCTGTAATTACTAGGTAGTCAATAGATGTCTAGTAGCGCTCTTTATTGCCCTCGGTCGCAAAGCATGGTGGCTCGGGCTTGCGAGGTATGAGACAGACCGGGATAGGAAGGACGAGAGGGAACTTACATCGACCTTCGACTTGATGAATGCAAGGGCCTGGGAGCCGTACTTGTTGACGTATTGCTGGTGAGAGTTGGCGTCGTTGCCATTGCAGCAGTACGGATCCGTACTATCACAGTAGGACTTGATGATGCTCGGATCGGCGGGTGAGCATCGGAAGCCTGAGGGACGAGCGGCGAACTATAATTATATGTCAGAATCGGTTACATATGAATCATCGTTCGGCAGCAACCGATCGGAGGAATTTTGCCTAGACAGAGCATATGGGTCTTTACTTACTCCTCCAGCTGTGCAAGTACCCACGTTGTAAGGCAGACCGGCGACATTGTGAGGATCGCCCATGAAGATAGCAGCCTTGACAGCGTTAAGCGCGCTGCCGCTAAGGGTAGCGCCTGAACCGCCGCACAAGGCGTTGTCCATGATCTGACCACCCTATTCACAACAACAATGATCAGTATAAAGTCATTTATAGTCGTGGAGTCCTGAATATTCATGCCAGTCATACCTGAGAGTATCCAATAAGGACAATCTTCGTGTTCGGGCATCGGCTGTTGAGGCTATTTACAGCACTGATGACAGCCGTAGTTCCCTGGCTAGCAGACTGGTCGTAAGAGACTCCGCCGCAGGAAGACTGGCCACCACAAGCGGGATAGCTGATAGGCGAAGCTTGAGAGCCCGAGTAGGCGGCCAAGACCTGGTTCACGAGGCCGCCGGCGGTGCCATACCCGGGGCTAACAGTCGTCTCACGGGCGCCGAAGATGTAGACGCCAGGGCAGCTCTGGCGCTCCGAGATCTCTGCGGGCGAGGCGTGGACACCAGCCGCGGCGATGATAGGGACGAGAAGTGTGGGCTTCATGGTGACGGCTTGTTGTCGATTCTCTGTCTCTCAAAATCTATCTATCAAGTCAGATCTTGCAAGCGACTACAGATTCCGTATCCTGGGTGATCGGCATCCGGCTCGCCATCATCTTATATGTCTCTCCCCCTTGTGTATACCACGTACGAGCCGTGATGATCTGCTCAAGTCATACCGATCCGGCGGTTATAGTTCTACTGGATATTTTCATGACATCAACCTACCCCTGGGGCGGTCATTGTCCCCACGGAACCATCCTGATGGCTCGCGAGGCAAAGCGGATGGTCGCGCAGGCGGCTGCCTAACCGCATCCAGGTATCTGCGGTTAAATGGCTAAACGCACCCTTGATCAGACGACAACAGACAACCTGGTAAGATTCTCAAAGCTTTAGTTCGAATACTGGGGCCGACACTGCCTAGTTACCTGATTGGCTTAGTATCAGCACTTTTGAACTCTTCATGCTATAGCCTGCTTATCTTCTGTCGTTGGTGGAAATATTTGTATACGCTGGGATCGAGGATCCTCAGCGAAAGAGCGTCTCTGGGTAGAGGGAAGTGGGGGTTGAAAGGGCCTACATTAGGCATAGCCACGCTATGCCATGTGGGAGGCTCCGGAGGGATTCCATAGAAGCTCCGGCGATCAGATGAGAACATCGACCGGGGGTTAGTCGCGCAAGGGTTGAGTGAGGATCCGGGGCACCGGAAACCTCCAAGAGAGAATCAAGCAAAGTGTACACGCGTACTTAGTATGTGATATAAGACTAGGAATCCCAAGAATAACAAAAGAAAAGAAAAGAAAAGACGAATAATAGCAAAAAACCGGATAATAATGTCTACGCTCCGAAAGTGACCATCCCTCTTCCTTCCTTTCGCAAGGGCTCCCTGTTTTGTTCTGCTCTGTGATCTTGATTGATGGAATGTCGTCAACTCACAGACCGGGGATGCACCAGGGAAATTAGGTGTTTCAGGAACCTCATGCGGCCATGAGTATTCGGTGTAATGCGCCGAACGCCGCTGTTTTAGGTCATCAGCTATACAATAACCCTAGTATACTTAGTGTCCCATGATCGTATGTGATCACAGCCTCCCTCGACCCATAACTAGAGCAACAACAAGCGCATAGCAATATGAAGGAGAAAAGAAAAAGCACAACCACGTAAGATGAGTTATGACAAGTAGCGCGTGTGCTGTATCGGAAACATCCAGGGTGGCAACTAACATGGTGCAGCAGAACCTGGAAGTCTATTCTTTCGACGGATAATATCCCAACATGGATATAGAGCTCCGCCACGTCTTAACCATCTATAGAACTGTCAGAATGTTACCTCCGTCTTTTTAGGCTAATTGTAGTTAACCCTGGCACAATGGCCTCAACCTGCCAATCAATATCTAACAACACGACTGTTACACCTATCCTGGCCGTGATTCCACAGCCTTACTCACAACAGATTAAGGGCAAATAAATGCGCAATGAAAAATTATAGGCTTCGAGTTACCTCGCCCTACGGATTTACGATGCGGCTTTCCTGAAGCAGGGACCCATGAACCCCCGTGTTATGATGCCATGAGCCCACTTGCGTGGCTAGAACGACGGGATCGGCTCTCACGGCAAGGGATCTATATAAGCACCATGGCAGCGCCGAGGAAAAAGTGAGAACTGGTTCATTCGTCGTCAGGCACCAAGCATCCAGTTTTTTTGAGGATCGCTCAGAATCCTCTTAAGACAAGCCAGCCAGATAGACAGACAAACCTCACACTCAGTTAACCATGCTCGGCTCACTAGCCCTCGCTGTCCTGGCAGCCGCTTCGACGGCCTTCGCCTCGCCGCTCGAGCTGATCACACGCGAGCAGCCCGGCACGGGCACCAACAACGGGTTCTACTACTCGTTCTGGACGGACGGCGGCGGCAGCGTGACGTACAACAACGGCGCGCGCGGCTCGTACGACGTGTCGTGGAGCAACGTGAACAACTTCGTCGCCGGCAAGGGGTGGAAGCCGGGTGCGTCACGCGTCATCTCGTACAACGGCACCTGGAACGGCGGCAACGTCAACTCGTACCTCTCCGTGTACGGCTGGACGCGCAACCCGCTCATCGAGTACTACATCGTCGAGGCCTTCGGCACATACAACCCGTCGACGGGAGCTCAGAAGCTCGGCTCCGTCACAAGTGACGGCGGTACTTACGACATCTACCGCACACAGCGCGTTAACCAGCCCTCAATCGAGGGTACCTCGACCTTCTACCAATTCTGGTCGGTCCGTCAGCAGCACCGCGTCGGTGGAACAGGTTCGTGTTTCCTCGTTTTCGGCTCTTCATATTATGCACACATGACTAATCTAGATGTCCAACAGTCAATGTCAAGAACCACTTCGATGCTTGGTCCAAGTCTGGCCTCCAGCTCGGCACCCATGACTATCAGATCCTAGCCACGGAGGGTTACCAGAGCAGTGGATCGGCGCACATCGAGGTCTTTGATGGAGGCAGCAGCGGAGGTAACGACGGCGGTAACGGCGGTAACAACGGAGGTGGCAATGGAGGAAACAATGGTGGTGGCAACGGAGGCGGCAACGGGGGTGGTAGTGGTGGCTGCTCAGTCGCGAAATGGGGCCAGTGTGGTGGCCAGGGCTACAGCGGCTGCTCGACTTGTGCTTCGGGATCAACCTGCACCGCCCAGAGCCAGTACTATTCCCAGTGCCTGTAAGGTGATCTGCACTTCTGATGTATATTCTTGTACAGCTGTGCCAGTCTTGCACTAGCTAGATGAAACCCAGGTCACGGCCAACCATCTAGGTATAAGCAAGATGGCACTTATCATGAGAAATGAATGAAAGTAAAAAGTAACTTTGAAGTCTTCGAATTCTGGTGCTGTGGATACGCTGATGATCCAGCATGACAACGACACTTTGGGCTCGTGAATAGAGCTTGATCGCTGATGGTCCAAGTATCGCTCTATATGACCTACCAAATTATATAGTGATACTATGCTGTTCACATTTGGAACAGATAATATGCTTATCTGTGTCTGTTGCAATTTTCTGGCTTCTGACACTATGACTTTCAGGCCAGGTACAGCAGACTATATGTCTGATGCGTCCAGACTTACTGAAGCTATCGACTAAGCATTGGCCAATATGGTAATAGGAAGGTGCCTTAACTTAACTACGCGAGGTTTGGGCACCAAAAATTGTTTTCAAATGGGGACCCAAATCTGTCACTTTGCAATCACTTTACCGTTGATTGAGGGATCGCTGAGAAGATAGCGAGATTAACGCGAAGATGAGTGGTGTGAGTCAGCGGCAAAAGATGTAACTCGAGTAATATGGTCTGAAGTTTGTCGGTTAGTAGCCACTATTCAGCCAGTATATACCAACTGATGGGTCTCATGGATTAGGAGAATCGAGCATTTCTCGGTGTCAACGATCGTTAGGCTTCGTAATCTCAATTTCATGTATCATGCTTCTTATGTCAGCGAACATGCTACCCAGCCAAAGGTGAGAGCCCTAGAACTTACTTCTACTCAACATGCCCATTTCCTCCCACGGCCCTGAAAACAACTCTGACAAGTCCATTATCAAACCTGCAAGCTCAATCATCAGCTCCCCGACGTTATTAGTGCCCTACTGATATGGTTTAAGAAATGAGGTCTGCCACGTTCATAGGCATCTCATCAATTTGAGTTGAGTAGTATACTGCTCAAGTTAGCAACCAGGATCATTCATTGCAGGCGAGGAGAAAACCTACACTCAATATCACGAAGAATGCGCACATCTTCGCTGGTGACAAAGTTGATCGCAACACCCTTACGACCAAACCTTCCACTTCGACCGATGCGGTGGATATAGTTTTCACGGTTGCTAGGCAGATCGTAATTGATGACCAAGCTGACCTGTTGCACATCGATACCGCGAGCCCAAACATCAGTTGAGATCAATACTCTGCTATTGCCCTGTCTGAAGTCTTGCATGATGCTGTCTCGTTCTTTCTGGGGCATATCTCCATGCATACTGCTGACAGTGAAGTTGGCTTCACGCATCTTGTCGGTCAACCAGTCGACCTTTCTTCGAGTATTGCAGAAGATGACGGCTTGTGTGATGGTCAGAGTATCGTACAAGTCACATAAGGTGTCAAATTTCCAGTCTTCTTTCTCGACCGCAATGAAATACTGCTTGAGACCTTCCAGTGTCAATTCATCACGCTTGACCAAGATGCGGACTGGGTCAGTCATGAACTTGGTGGTCATGTCGAGCACATCGTAAGGCAAAGTAGCAGAAACGACGACGACTTGTGTAGCAGGTGGTAGATATCGGTAGACATCGTAAATCTGCTCGCGGAAACCTTGGTTGAGCAACTCATCGGCCTCGTCAAGCACAAGCATCTTGATGTTCTTTGTGCGCAGGTGGCGGCGGCGAATCATGTCGGCAACACGACCAGGGGTACCCGAAACGATATGTTGACCATAGTCAAGCTTGCGGATATCTTCACCGACATTGGTACCTCCGATGCATGCGTGACATTGCACATTCATGTAATCGCCTAGAGCCATAACGACAGATTGGATCTGGGTAGCTAATTCACGGGTAGGAGAGAGCACAAGGGCTTGCGTCTCGCGGACAGCTGTATCGATGACCTGTAACATGGAGATGGAGAAAGTGGCAGTCTTTCCTGTACCGGATTGAGCTTGAGCGATCGTGTCGCGACCCTTGCACACTTGCACGATAGCTCTGGATTGGACGGCGGACGGAGACTCGTAGCCGTATGCGTAGATGCCTCGAAGGAGATTCTCTAAATGACCAGATTAGCATGTTTTTGGCATACTTGACTTTGTATCTCTGTGTCGGTCGCCGTTCATTTACCTTTCAATGACATGGCCTCGAAAGTGGGATGAACTGTAACCTCTTTCGACGTCGAGAACTCCATCTTCTCGTCGGCGCGACGATCAATACCACCGCCTTCAGCCATCTTGAACGTTGTATAGATGTTCTCCTCGATAGATGAGATGATGTCTCGATATGGGTAGGATGGCTGTGATGACGCTGTAGAGGATATAACGGGGGAGCGGGCTGTTTTCTCGATGCGACGCGACGAAGTCGAAGCTTCGAGGGCGCTTCTGGTCCTCGAAATTTAGGTGGAGAGAAAGAACATAAAGGTACGTACCTCCAGCCGCTGCATCCATCCAACCAATCGATCGTCAGCTAGTGGATCTTGTCTCAGCTATCTTATCTTATCGATAGGCTTACTCGACCTTAGGTAAGCTGGCGCAACGCAACTCTTTGCCTCAGCGCGCTAGGAGCTGTACATACTGTAGTAGCTGCATAGGTAGCATCGCATCCCAGTCACATACATCTATATTCTTTATTTATCGTCGCCTTCATTATCGGTTGATGTAATTTCTTCACGCACGCATAATCTTCCTCTAGCCTTCCTTAGGGTGGTCGCATTGATCTGGTCTGGTCTGTGGTGTATTCTCATTACTAGGCGCGTCACATCATTATGCTGTTAGAGGAGCAAAGGTTCCTTCACGAGGACCTTGAGCGCCTCGAACAAGGCATAGCTGATCGAATCGGTGAAGAACCGAAGCAGGTAAGTACCCATCACTCCAACACTGCGTAACAATCTAACCACCGCCCTCATAGATTCGAGATCGATTGGCACGCGACCATCAGATTGCCCAATTTCTCGACCGCATTTCTTCGCAGTCTGCTAAGCTGCTAGAAATATATCGCGATGCAGATGGCTCAAGATCACGCGAAATTCAACAGATAGGGACAGGGGACCCAATGGACGAATTCTACAAGCAGCTTACGGACATCAAAGGCTTCCACGCGAGGTACCCTAACGAGCCAGTCGAGAACCTAGAGCGCGCATATCGGCCTAAGAAGGGCGCCGACGAGGCGGGCCAACCGAGCATTGTCGATACTATGTTCACTGGAGAGGAATCATTCGGCCGCTTCTTCGACTTACAGACTTGCCATGAACTATACCTTAATTTGCCCAATGCCAAGAGGCTCAGCTATGTACAATATCTAGACCTATTCGATAACTTTGCGCCTGGTGCCGCTGGATTGAAGAGGTCCGAGAAGATGACGGATCAATATTTCGCCTATGTTGGCCACCTCGCTCTCGACCTGGAGACATTCATGCGCAAGACCAGACCGCTCGAGAACATTGATAAAGTTCTTTCCGAGTTCGATAAGAAGTTCGAAGAGGATTGGGAAAATGACAATGTGTCCGACTGGAAGATGGAAGATTCTAGCGCGATATCGGGTGCTGGGAAGTCTTCGACGAATGAGGGCATCTGGTGCGAGGCTTGCGAGAAGGCTTTCACCAACGAAAACGTCTACAAAAACCACCTTAGTGGTAAGAAGCATATCAGGGCAGAAAATGAACGGAAGAAGAAGGAACAAGATGATTCCACAAGCGCCACCAATGGGGCTAATAAGGGAGCGGCCTCAACAACAAGATTGAAAGAAAGGGCGATCGCAGAGCGCGAGAACCGCATCAAGCGCCTCGCGAGCGCCATGAGTACCGAGCGCAGCGATACCCGAGTGAATGTCGAGCGCAAACAACTCATGACAGATAAGGAACGTCGACAAGAGATCGACAACGTATTTAATGTGACGGTGCCTACAGCACAGGCAGCCGACATAGACGAAGGCGAAGAGGGCGAAGACGACGACAAGATATACAACCCATTGAAGCTTCCATTAGCGTGGGATGGCAAGCCCATTCCTTTCTGGCTGTACAAGCTGCACGGATTGGGAGTCGAATTCGCTTGCGAGATATGCGGCAACTTCGTCTACATGGGGCGACGCGCATTCGATAAGCACTTCAACGAGGCGCGACATATTCACGGGCTAAAGTGTCTGGGCATTACGAATACCGCGCTCTTCCGCGACATCACGCGGATCGACGAGGCTTTAAGGTTATGGGAAAAGATACAGAGGGATAGGCGGGGTGACAGAGTCGATGACGGGAGTGTTATTCAAATGGAGGATGCAGAAGGGAACGTCATGCCCGAGAAAGTGTACTATGATCTGCAGAAGCAGGGACTCTTGTAAAATTGGTGTATATTAGGAGTTGGGTGTGCATACTGGCTTTTCAACCATTTCAACAGCGCTCTAATATTCTTGCTCGGAAATCCGATTGCCGGTGACGGCTTTCAAGGCGTACTTAGCATATGTTCATCGTGGTTCGCTGTGATACCAACAGGTTTCTATATCTTCCTTTAAGTCCTATGTGAAATGAAAGCAATGCACTTGATGAAGGACGACTTATCGCGCTTCGCCCAAGTATGAAATACCGATATAGTCGCACTTATTCAATGCTCGCCTTTCTTATCGTATTTTCAATTTGATCGATTTATTCTTCCCTTTTTCTTTGTCAAATCAGGCGGTTGATGGCATGAAGTCGGAATCTGGTCTGTGCTTATCCCGCCTATACCTCCTCTTCAGCTAGGTAACTCAGGTAACACCCGAATACAGCATAACTTCAGGCCAGATTCAGGCCAAGCAACCGCTATTTTAGGTAGCTTGACCCGGCTAGATTCACCCCACCATCTTGACGAAGGTTTGTTATGTCATGCTGCCTGCATCGCATACCTATTACCTACCAACAACAATGTTGAAGTGATGCCTGATTTTCGTTTATCATAGCTACAACTTGCTGGAGTAATTTTTCCGGTATTAATTTCATCTATCTATGGCCTAGATGTTATGTGATGGCAATCCTCTTAGGCTCGGTGTACCTTGTTGACTTCTTGGAGTATCCTTCTCAACCTCCAACTGGATGACTCAGGTTGAGAGCTTTGGTATAATGAGGGTTGGCCTGCAAAATGTCAGTTCTTCCTAAGCCTATACCGCCTCTCTATACCGTGTATATCTTGCGCTCAACGGTCAAACATTCTTCACTTTATATCGGTTCGACGCCAAACCCGCCCAGGCGTCTGAAGCAACACAATGGGGAAGCCAAGGGGGGCGCTGCACGAACTTCGAGGCGGCAGTATCGGCCTTGGGAGATGGTTGGTCTCATCTCTGGATTTCCGGGAATGGTTGCTGCCCTAAAATTCGAGTGAGTAGTCTTTTCCCTACCTTGAGAATATCTTCGTCCGCCGGTTTCAAGACATAATGGCTAATCAGTGAGTAGATGGGCGCTTAACAATCCACATGTGTCACTACACATTCCAACAAATTCGCGCATCACTGTCGCAACACAGAGAAAGCGCAATGGACAACCCAAACGCCCGACTCATAACATGAAGTCAATCATCTCAAACATCCATCTCCTTTTACGAGTGCCTAGCTTCGCGAGATGGCCACTTAAACTTCATTTCTTTGCCCCCGAGTTTTACGGGACTTGGACTAAATGCTGCGACACCGCCACTGAGCCTCTTCGTGAGACCATTCCTGTCTACACGGACTTTCCTCCGAGCTCGGCTGCTGAAGATGCATGTACTGATGAACCTAGTCCTTGGGGTATCCATGCCCTTCCCCTCGATTATGCGCCAATGAAGGAATACGTTGAGAAAACGCAATCACTGTATTCATTCGAGAGGGAAGGTGAATGCGTTGTTTGTGATGAACATTTAGAGCACGGTGAAGGCTTATATGCAACCTGCTCGAACTCGCTCTGTGAAGGCACTGGGCATATATCTTGCTGGAGTCGACACTTGCTTGGCAACAACCCGGGAGAAGACATCATCCCGATTTCCGGCCATTGTCCCAAGTGTGAGGGCAAGGTGATTTGGGGAGACATGATGAAGGAGATGAGTTTGAGGATTCGTGGGCAGAAAGAGGTTGAGAAGATGCTCAAGAAGCGTCGAAAGCGGAAAGCGCCGGTCACAGCTGAATCTCCTTGATAAGATACTATGGATTGCTACGACGACCACGTTCACCTTCTCCCTTTACACGGCACATTCAACATTCAACACACGATAGTCAATTTGATGCATAAAACTCATCTACTCCCAAGCACTGATATTGGCTCAGAATAGGACGGGAATCATCGTGTTTTGAAAACGTGAGGTATCTTTGCGTCAATGTCATTGGTCGAAAAGGACGAAGCAGCAACGAACACTCTGCCTACACCACCCGGTGCGGGTGCGGGTGCGCTTCCACCCATGAGCATAGTGCCTCGAAGTCAGTACACTGGTGCTCATACCCCCAACCGCTGCTTCCAGGGTCACCTTCATGCACCCACTCCAGAGTTGTGTCTCTATGGCACTTGATAGCCTGGTGCAAATAATCCCAGCAGTGGGAGAAGTGGTCCGGGCCTTGATCCACGATTTCAAGATCACTGTCAATGGCCACAAAATATCCAATGCGAATCATTTCCTATGACTACTAGTTAACATCACCTACAAAGGTAATCATGAATGAGTTTCAAGTAGCCTTTACCAGACAGTGTAGCTGATGGAAAACCGAGACAACGGCGAGGCGCTCTGAGCCCGGAGGACTCTGGACCTGCGTGCCATTGAACCACACAAACCCACCTCCCTCTTCAAAAGCAGTAAGCTCCATGAAGCTACGATGGTGAATTCAGGAAAGTCTTACCCGGGAATAGAGTATCCCACGCCTTGTCAGACTCGACATCTGGCCTTTCTCTAAATATCCTCAGACCTGAACGTCACGTTCGCTGGCCGCCGTGGAGGTAGCCATGGAGGTGACTCTTGATATCCCTGAGAGGCGACGTGAGACGATACAACGACCAGCAGCGCTGCGATCGTGATGACAGCGAGGGCAAGCAAGGAAACAACACCACACAGAAAGATGCTGTGTTTCTTGTAATAGACGGTCCGCACGGAAGTAGTTGGGCATCCCATGAGGCCCAACACTTCTTCGTGTTCCTCTCTCCAAGGACTGGAAGACATCGTAGGAAAAGAGAATGGTGGCGTGTTCCTCTTTCACATAGCTAGTATTTGGGAACCTTTTGAGTTAGAGGATTCAAAATGGGTCTCCGAGGGGAATTGAAGTAGCTTCCGTTTCCGCGGACATACGCACTCATTTCATCGCTCTGCTACACACGTATAGACCCAGCTAGCACCTAGTTAGTTACCTCATTCCGACAATTGAAATGCGCTTTACCCTAATTGTGTTGTAAATCGATAGTAAACGATGCTGGTAAATTCGTAAGAACTGTCGATGCCCCTATCGTGATCGATAGGAGGAGCTCTCATGATTATAGTACCTTACTACGGCTCGATCTACAACCTACCCAGATTAGTACCCATTCAAATATCCGTAAGTTATCAAGGGAGGGGACTGTACGCCAGCGCGTTCGGAAGAGGTACCTGTAGATGGCTCTACTCTCTCTGTTCGAGCTGCTAGCACATGGATCACAAAAAAGAATATCATGACCGAATGTGTATTGTTCTAAATAGTCGGGATCTCGGAATTGAATAATGAGAATGACTGTGCATAGCCTTAACATAGATGAGGAGGCCTTGAAGAAGAAACAGCATCCCGATAGCTGTAGTTCTCACATAAAACCAAAAAAAAACATCCCTTCTTCTCAGCTTGGATTTACTATTGTGATCGCATATAAACGAGTACAGTATTCAAAACCAAGAGGTCGATTTACATAATTGAGACCTTGATTGGTAGCGATTAATAACAAAACTTTACTTGAACCGAGGGCGTAGGTGAGAATGGTGCTGAGAGTATTGACGATCTAGGGGATGATGTAGGTGAATTCATTTCAATAGACCAACACACAGTAATATTGAGTGATACGATATAGATAAACATTACATCAATCAATTAAGTGATCATCGTAAAGTCCTTGAGTTTGAATTCTGGTTCGAATGCCGGCTGGATATCTTGTTTCGCAGCAATGACAGCATCTCAGCAACGCTCATTTCAGACTTCGAGCAGCATAGGCTCACGAATTTGTCATTGGGTTATGCATACAGATTTAGGGTTGCGCATGGCTCTTTAGAATTCTTATAAGGCTATTGTGGAATACATAGCTGTGTGCGAGAACACAATGTTAGGGCTGCTGTGATGAAGATGACTCAGATGAGAGAGATGACGAAGCTCTTTGCAACCTCACTCATGCACACTAGGTACACACCAATCTCTCTAACGAAGGTAACGACTCCCAGGTCCCTAGGTCATATAAGTAGAATATAGCTAGGTAGGTTGATTTCGCAGTATTTCCCAATTCCTTTACGCATTCAGTTTAGGAATTCTCTTTTCCTTCTTCGCTGGAATGTGAACTCACTCTCATCATTGCAGTGTCATATCAGTGCTATCAATCCTATCGATAAGATAAGCCCAGAATGCAACGCATAGGGCGGCCCACAAAAGCTAAAAGCCGCTTGCCTGAGGTGCGCGTTTCATTTTGGTCTCCAGATCGAGAAATCACCTGAAAACGTGAAGCCCCCGTCTGCATGAGCTCTGCCAAATCCGGAACCAAGACATTATTCAATGCGCGAACGTACCTACCCTACCGTAAGATATCCATGTAATGTTGGTCAGGAAAATTGAAGTATACCGCTGTGAATTGTGAACGCGAATATTTCATGTGTGAGGGCTTATTAGGTATGCATGATCAGCTGACGACATGTGTATAGTATACACATTATTTTTTTTTTCTTTCTCTTTTCCCCTCGCCTTAGTCGGCAGAAATTGACCCCAAACAAGCTAAAGGTGGCACGATTCATGTAACGTCGATCAGTCCACCGTTGTCGATTCCGATTATAGTACGCCTATGGTAAGAAAAGAATGTGAATAATGGGTGCCTGTTATTATTCAATACTACTGTAAGTATGTAAGTAGCTACTAACTGAGTATGATGGAAATACACATGACTTTGTGGTTCTATCAACAACGTAGGTATTGTTGATAGTATGCCATGTCGTCATAATGTGACCTGGGCGAAGGAACCTCGGCGCGCGGGAATGAAGTGGATTGAGGGCAGGTCTATACTTACCTATCGCCTATCTCTTTACATGAATACTCAGCCGCTTTTAGTGGGCTCTACTCCCTGCACCATGTGATTCCTTACCCTCGTTACCTTAGGTACATAGTATATATGTACTATATGTAGGTAAATAACAACACATCATGATGTTATCTGGAGGTCTGGTGTATTCTAACAGTGCTTCCTTGTGTCAGCGCTTCAAGAAACTCTCGCACAAAGTATACCTTGCTACCTACTACCCACCTAACTGCGATGGGGTATGGGATATATAGGATCTAGGTAGCTGATATAAGCACCTGCAAACCGGGTGTTTATACGCTCCGGACACGTTTTCATTTAGGAATGTATAAATCTATATAAACTAGGTAGGTTTGCTTTAAGGTAGCAGTAAGGTATTTACCTACTTTTACGGATAGTAGCGAGGGTAGGTAGATGCTGGGCTGGTTGCGGTAAGGATGAACTGGGACAGATGAGGTTGACTAGGTATCGGCCCACTACTGCAGTGATGGCCCATTTGGCCCATCTGCATTTTGCATTTTGCCCCGAATAATCCCCCCCCCCAAAAGAACATCCCTGCCTGCCACGAAGTTCCAAAGTTCCGACGGCATTTTACGGATTTTACGGTGCATAGCGCGCTGAGGAGTCTCGTTGTGCCGCCGCGGAGAACCTAGGCAACTACCTACCTGCCGACTTCGCCTGATGTTATCTTGCTGACCATCCCCGTCATCATCACGGCCCGAGGTCAGCAAAGATCGGTCAGCAGCGACTATATAGCGACTATAAGGTGTTACCGTAAATCTTATATATACGTACTTATATAGGATAGCCATTCACCTATTCCACAGACAGACAGATAGATATAGATGGTGATTGATATCAGTGCTTGCAGCCTGCTTGAACCTGGCACTATAGATGATTCTGTTGGTTCAAGGTTGTTAGATAGGTATTATTAGCCATGTTATTATTAGTATCCTAGAATAATAGGTAGTATAAAACACTCGCCCCCTACCTCCCTACCTCCTTCCCTGCTTTTGGGTACATTCAATGTAGAATCAATATTCAATGGTAAAAGGGACGGTCTGGTCTGTATGCAAAGGGAAAAAAAGAAATGAGTAATGCTGAGCCTCCTCGCTGCTGGATCGGTTAGTCTGTCTATGGGCATCTGTGCCTGTGTCTGCATGCACGAGAGAGAGAGAGAGAGATGGCTGACAAAGGCCATCCTCATTCACTTGTATTATTCACCTTGTCCCCCCCATCCCCTCCACCCATTGTCATTATCATTGATATCACTCAATTCCCCAATTCAAGCAAGCAAGCAAGCAAAAAAGGCCTTGAAGCCGCACAAAAAGCTCGGCGCACTGGCCAACAGCCGGCCCCCCGTTCGCTGGTAGTAGAGTACCGTAGTTGAGATAGTTGAAATATAACTGGAGACGCTGGGGCCGCTGGGCACAAGCCGTGGCCAATCCCGTGGCTCCACTCAGCTCACGCCCACCCTACGGGCCCTGCCTATGCTGGCTTTTGCTACCGACACCTCTCCCTCTCCATCTCGCTCGCTCATCCCATCCCGGCGCTGGCTCACTTCCATCATCTCTCACTCGCATACTCGCCTCAAATATCTCTCTTCCTTCCCCCTACCGCGTCCAAACATTCAACAACCCCCCGGTCCCGGTCCCTACCTCTGCGCCTCTTCCATCTGCCGCCTCACTCCATTCACACACGGCGAGAAACAGAGCAATTAGTGCCGTTCCGATATTCCTGTCCTCTCTTCCTGCTCTCTTTGCGATTTCTCAAGTTCATCCCGTCGAAGTCATGGTCCTTTGTTTCACGACTTCACCTATACTTCAACAGTAGACCAACCGCCTCTCCTCTGCACGCACTGGGGACTCTAGTGATTCTGTCTGTACCGTACAATCGAGCATAGTGCCCACTCATATCTAGTTTCTTGAATTCAGGCTCGAACAAAGGGTCACACAGGTATTGCCATACTCTTAACTGGGTTCTTGCCCAGCCTTATATCGCCTTGCCTTAACCTTCGTCCTTAGAGTCCTTCAACATACGCTCGGGCTTTTCGCTTCCTTCTACCACCTCGGTACTCCCCTATCCCGGCGATTGGCGATTGGACCACCGAACTCAATACTCGCGCTAGGCCACGTGCGTTGAATCATATCCCTCTACTTCTCCCTACAGGTCACCGATAGTCTATGCTATTACGTTGCCGCCCGCGAACGCCCCATGCGATGTGCCTATTCAGACTGTGAGCCCAGTGCAGTCGATTGTCACGACCTCCTGGTGTAACGCGCACCGAATAACACCGTTGCCTCGCGGTCCCGCCATTGCCGCCACGTTTGCGACTTATTGAAGAGACAATGGTGTCTGTCCCCTCCGCTAACCAGAACGGTAGCGGGGGTGCTGGCAGTGCTAATGCCAGCTCGCGAGCCTCTCCTGCCGTTAGCAATGCCAATGCTACCCGCGATGCCTCGACAACCGCCAACGGCGCCAAGCCGAAGACTCAGGTCAACTCGAACGGCTACCACCCGACAAACCCTCAACTGCCCCTCAGTTCGATGCAGAGCGCTCCATTAGACCTACGATCCGTGGAGCGGAGAGGTCAACCCACCGCGAGTCGTGAACATGTCAAAAAGTCCCGACTTTTTGGTCTCCAGGAAGCCCCTACCTACACGCCAACAGAGGAGGAGTGGAAAGATCCTCTCGAGTATGTTCGCAAGATCTCGCCAGAGGCGCAAGCCTATGGTCTCTGCAAGATCATACCCCCGGATTCCTGGAATCCAGATTTTGCCATTGATACCGAGGTGAGTCTACATAGCATGCTGGACATCTACATTTGGCCTCCTCCATTGTTATGTTACCCGCGACAACGTTATCCGCCAGTATCCAAGTTCGTCAGATGCTAATTCCGCAACAGCGATTTCATTTCAGAACACGGAAGCAAGAACTTAACTCTGTTGAAGGCAGTGAGTTTTCCAACACCCGACGTATATGTAACTCTTTACTAATCGTACAACCAGGCACACGGGCCAACTTGAGCTACCTGGATGCTTTAGCCAAATTTCACAAGCAACAGGGCACCAATCTTAATAGGCTACCCTACGTTGACAAGAAGCCCCTGGATTTGTATCGTCTGAAAAAGGCTGTTGAGTCCCGAGGAGGCTTTGAGAAGGTCTGCAAAACGAAAAAGTGGGCCGAGATAGGTAGAGACCTGGGGTATAGTGGGAAGATTATGTCGTCTTTGTCCACGTCGCTGAAAAACTCGTATGATCGTTGGCTCAACCCTTATGAGAATTATCTCCGACAAGCGAAGCCCGGCGTGTATCAACAATTGGAGTATGAGTATGGCGGCCCCTTGACGCCGAGCCCAGCTCCTAGTCCTGTCAAACGATCAACCGTCAATACCCCCTCTAGCCTTCGGGGCGAGTCGCCTGCGCGACATGCAACAGACGCTCTTCAAGCGGGCTTGGGTGTAACGAAAGGTGATGTGGATCGCGACAATGCCACGACAGCGGATTTGCCGCCACCGATACCCCAGCCTACGAGCGGGTTTACTGCAATCAACTCGGGTGGATTTACGGCTGTAAATGCTAGTTTTACAAGCGTCAATCGCCCAACTCCACCAGAAGCGAAGAGCTTTACGCCACCCCCGAGGCGACATGATAGCCCTGCCTCAATGACGAAGGACACCGCGCTTGACTTGCGGCCAGCAAGCCTTAGTTCAGCTAATGCGCTCAAACGACAGCTTAGTTTCGACAGCATTGACTCAGCTAGGAAAGAAGCAAGCGCTGACAAAGATGATTCAGAAAATGGCAGCAGAAGAAGCAAGAGACTCAAGAAAGGTATGATTCCTCTCACACTCAGGTAGACCATTGGTCGACTATCGAGATCCTCGTCCCCCTACCAGTCTCTGCTTGGAGAGAACCTTATTTTGGAGTGACGATTTTCCTCATATCTTCCCTCCCTCTGATTTCACGCTGCTCACTTGGACGCTGTAAAACGTTTTGTGATGGTGACTATTGGATACGCACAATCTGCGTACCTCGGCGATTTAATTTCGGTGAAATTTATCTCGCATATGGAAATTCAAAATTGATCGGTTTAATTGTGTGGCTAACAGATAACAATTTCTAGAAACTGTACCGACTGTCGCTGGCTCACATATGTCCTTATTTCGACCTTCAGCCCCTCGAGTTCCCCGGGATGAAACGTCGCCTCCGGGTGAGGTAAGTTATCATCTTATTCATATCCGGACGCTCCATTCTACTTTATTTTGCGATTAACACAGAACAGAAGTGCGATACATGTGGCAAAGGCGACGATGCCGGTTTCATCCTGGTCTGCGAGTCTTGCGATCACGGTTACCACGGTGCTTGTCTTGACCCTCCACTAAAAGCTCAACCCGACGGCGAATGGAATTGTCCTCGATGTCTCGTTGGCGATGGTCAGTTTGGCTTTGAAGAAGGCGGCCTCTATTCCCTGAAGCAGTTTCAGGAGAAAGCTGCAGACTTTAAGCAAAGCTATTTCGAGAGTCGCATGCCCTTTGACCCTGTCCTTAACTGTGTTCGACCTGTGACGGAAGATGACGTTGAGCGAGAGTTTTGGAAGCTGGTTGCTAACATCGAAGAAACTGTTGAGGTTGAGTATGGAGCTGACATACATTGTACAACCCACGGATCGGGCTTTCCAACGGCTGAGCGGCATCCCTGCAACCCCTACTCCGGCGACCCTTGGAATTTGAACAATATGCCATTACACCCAGACAGTCTATTTCGGCACATCAAGACGGATATCTCTGGAATGACTGTGCCTTGGGTGTACGTCGGCATGATATTCTCAACATTCTGCTGGCATAACGAGGATCACTTTGCCTATTCAATCAACTATCAGCATTTCGGAGCTACCAAAACCTGGTACGGTATTCCCGCCGAAGACACTGAAAAATTCGAAAATGCTATGAGAGAAGCTGTTCCGGAACTCTTTGAGACACAACCAGATCTGTTGTTCCAGCTCGTCACTCTTTTGACACCGGAACATCTTAAAAAGGCTGGAGTCAGAGTCTACGCTCTGGATCAACGAGCTGGACAAATGGTAATTACATTTCCGCAGGCATATCATGCAGGCTTTAACCACGGGTTCAACTTCAACGAAGCCGTCAATTTCGCGCCTTCTGACTGGGAACCGTATGGTCTAGCTGGAGTAGAAAGGCTACAGCAGTTTCGAAGGCAGTCATGCTTCTCCCACGATGAATTGCTGTGGACGGCAGCAGAAGGACCTACCAGTGCGCTAACCATACAGACCGCTAAATGGCTTGCGCCAGCCCTCGAAAAAATCCACAAACGGGAACAAGAACAACGAGAAGCGTTCATCGCAAAGCACTTGGAGAATAATAGCCATGCATGTGCCTTGACTTCCGAATCTACCGAGCAACAGTGCACGATTACCTTCCAGATCCTCGATGAAGATGTACCGGAGGATGAATATCAATGCTTATATTGCAAATCGTTTACTTACCTGTCAAGATTCAAATGTCTCAAGTCTGGCAAGGTTCTTTGTTTGTTACATGCTGGATATCATGCTTGTTGCGACATAACCGAGTCCCAACGATTTGCTGGGGATCAGCATGTTATATACTATCGGAAGACGCAAGCAGATATGGACGAGACTCACCGAAAGGTTGCCGAAAAGGCTAATATGCCGGAACATTGGGAGGAAAAGTACGAGAAGTTGCTAGATGAGGGAGCAACGCCAGCGTTGAAGACGCTACGAACACTCCTTAATGAGGGTGAACGCATACCGTACGGCCTCCCCTCCTTACCAGTCCTCCGGGAATTTGTTGATCGCTGCAACGATTGGGTCGAAGAAGCGACTAATTTTACGGTGCGTAAACAGCAGAACCGCCGTAAGAACGACAAGGTCCAGACATGGCAACGCGGAATGATCAGAACCAACGGCGACATCATGAAGGAGTACGAGGAACGTGAAGCTCGAAAGGTCCACAACATCTACCGTTTAATTGAGGAGGCAGATCGCATAGGCTTTGATTGTCCTGAGAAACATCAATTGAAGGAGCGAGCAGATGCGATACGAAGCTTCCAGAAAAATGCTGAACAAGCTCTGGAGCACATTCTCGGCCACAATCAAGAATCGATCGAGGAGCTAATCGAGGAGGGTCGTACATTCAACGTAATCATTCCGGAACTAGATAAACTACAATCCGTTCTTGAACAGATTCGCTGGGGTAATACTGCCAGGACTAATCGCGGCAAATCTTTGACTATGGACGAGGTTAGAGAAATCATTAAGGAAGGGCATCGGCTGTGCATTCCGCTTTACAACGATCATATGAAATGGTATAACGACAAGTATCAGGCAGCTCTTCAGTGGGAAACCAAGGCAAGGGAGCTTATCAATGCTGACTTGATTCATTACCCGCAACTTGAAGCTCTCTCCAATCAGGTTCAAGCTCAGAGCCTACCCGTCCCGGCTGACACACTAGCTATCATTGACCAAATTTTGCACAAACAACGAGAAGCGCACAGGCAGGTCGTTGATCTGACCGAACGCTCTCGCGATTCGGACCACACTAAGCGACCCAGATATTCCGAGGTGGCGGAAGTGATGAGAAAAGTTGAGGATCTCAACTCCAAGCCCGCTGGTACACTTGATCTTGAGAAGGAACAGAAACGCCATGAGGATTGGATGCGGAAGGGAAAGAAGCTATTCGGCAAGACCAACGCACCACTTCATATTCTCAAGAGCCATATGGACTACGTCTACGACCGCAATCTCGACTGCTTTGACATTGTTAGTGACAAGCCTCGAGTGCCAGCTGAGCCTGCGTCAAGAGCCACAAGCGAGGAGAGGGATCAAAAATCGTCTCGAACGTGGGATGACCCGACCTTTAGAGAGGTTTTCTGCATCTGCCGTCGGACCGAAGCCGGGCTCATGATAGAATGTGAATTGTGCCACGAGTGGTATCATGGGAAGTGTCTCAAAATTGCCCGGGGCAAGGTGAAAGAGGACGACAAGTATACTTGCCCCATCTGCGACTGGCGTGTGAAAATCCCACGAGATGCTGCTCGTCCCAAGCTTGAAGACTTAATTGCCTGGCAGGACGAAATCCCCGGCCTCCCTTTCCAGCCTGAAGAAACTGAAGTACTCAAAAAGATCATAGACAAGGCGCAAGAATTCCGACAGCATATAGCAGCATTCTGTACCCCTGTTGTGGCTACGGCATCTGAAGCTGATACCCAGCGTTTCTATCTTCGAAAAATTGAAGGTGCCGAAATCCTATTATCTTACGAGACCAATTTTTTCCGACAAGAACTTCATAAATGGGCCCCAGTGGCTCCCCAGCCGCCTCCAGTTCTAGATGTATCGAAGAGTACGAGAAAACCACGGCCGACAAAATTACAGAAACTGCTTACTCAGTATGGTGTGGATGACCCGGATGATCTCCCAGAAGCCGTAAAGGGTAAAGCAAACAGCCTTAAGCGCAAAGCTCAGAACGCCGAAGCCGCCGCCGCGGCTGCTGCCGCTGTTGCTCCTCCAAGCGCGAGTCTCATCCCACCGCATGCCACTAGCCCGTCAACGCACTCATTTGGTTCGAGTGGCCATGCATTCTTCCGTGGCTCACAGCCGTCGACCCCTGCCTTGACAGCAACTACACATGGACACCCCCCTCCTAGTGCTGAATCGGTAACGTCCAGCCGACCTACTTCCTCCCTTCGTCCTGATTCCATGGATATCGACGGCGGTTCCAGTCTCCATCCTGATTTTTTCATGTCAAATGGGAGCAGTGGCCAAGGTCCTCAACTCACGCGCTCGGATTCCAATCTCTCGCTGGAAGAGCGCATACTTCAGGGTCAAGATGACGATCTTATTCATGCCACTGGTCCTGATCGAGAAAAAGTACTAGAAATTCTCGGCAAGACCGAAAACGGTCGTCGACGTGCTGAGGAAGTCTACGGACCTGATATCTGGGATTCCTGGCGGGGCAAAGGCTACTATCGGCCGTCGAACGCTGATCAAAGAAACCCAGACGACGACAAGGAAGTAGACAAGATGTTCCTGGACCTAACAAATGCCAACGAGGATAATGTCTCCAAGAAAGACAAGCGTCCTGAAGGGGAGCGCGTCAGCATCACGGCCGAGAGCTTTGAAGCCGAGCGCAATGCGATGGATGCTATGGAAGACTCCGAATAATCCCTTGCTTGCTCTTTAAGCTAGGTAGCTTTGCGCATTTGCTCACAGGCCACATGGGAACCCTGATAGATGCTTTCCATTAAGTTATGTAGAAAACCGGGGTTTAATAGCGCTGTTCAACAAAATTCTATCGAGGGGTTGGGATTTGGGTGGCTGAAGGCTAAGGGCCTCATTTACTGTTATCGGCGTTTTTATTCACATGGTTAGGTACAACTATGTTTGCATGCATCATACCATGGAGAACAAGAGAGATCACGGCGTTGTTTATATCTTTTTTTTTTTTTTTTTTTTCGTTGCTCTATTCATATGGTTGGACGAAGGGGGAGTTGCTTAACTGGAAGGAAACTTTGTATGATTATAGAGAATGGGGGAAGGTGTGGTATTTGGGATGCCCATGGAGTGTGATGGACGGATGGGATGGGATGGGATGGAATGCATTAGATTGGCGTTGAATATTTTTTTAATGCGGTTTATTTAGCTTGGGGAGAGGAGGGAAGGAGCTTAGATAAGGGACCTTGTCTTGCCTTGTGTGGCTTGTGCGCCTTGAACGGATATAATTGATACCTATTTGAATTCTAATTGCGATTTTTACTTGAGAGTGTTGATGTTTGTGTTTTTGGTTGTGAATTGGGCCTGGATTGTCTTGATTGTATTGTCTTTACTTGTGATGTTGTGATGTTGTGGTGTTACGGTGTGTTGATATGTTGTTATGAGGCTGTCAGGGGTCTTTGTCACAACGGCAGCCTGTAACCGCTACGCCAACAACCCCAAAAGGTCTGTAGTACGCCATACTGGAGTACCCGGGCGGTCCGTACTGTTGAAAGTGTAGGTGGTAAAGGAGTCACTTCATATATACGGTACGGGTCAAGGGTCACAAAGGGTCACGAAGGCACTGTTCATGTATATAAGACGGTCTTCCCACCTTACTCAAATTAAGTGGTTCAGTTAAATGTAACCCTTATATACCTTCCATTTTAGCAAGTTATAAGCCCGGAAACTTTTCTATTAAGCTAAGTTAAGCTATATCTTTTATAAGCCTATATATTAATAAATAATAGGGATTATTAATTGGACTTATTTCCGGATTAACGTTAAAAGCAGTAATTAATTTAAATAAGTTTAAATTAATGCATCTCCCACTTAACCTAGCCACCCAATTAAGCTGGCCACCCTTCCAGCCCAGACAAAAAACGTCGGTGCATTAATTATATAATAATTTAATAACTCTATAAATATTAATTATATAAAGTAGTAAAATATACTATTAGATTTATAATAAAGAAAGCTATTTAACGGTACCCTTTATTAATCTTTATAGCTTATATTTACGGAGTTATTAAGCAATACGTTAAAGTAAGCGTTAAAATAATTCCTACTTAACGCTACTTTAACGTATTGCTTAATATCTTATTTAATAAATTTTATAAAAAATAGTAAAAAATACCTCTGGATTCCCCTTTAACTAATAGATTTAAAGGTATTAATTATTAAATTATATAATTAATATTTATAAAGTTATTAAAGATTAAAATAATAAGGTTTTATATAAGTTATTAAAGTAGTTAAGTTAATTAAATGGTTAAGTTAAATGGGAGATACATTAACCTAAAATACTTTTTATCCCTTATTATTTTTATAATTTAATTTTTCCTTTTTTTAATATTAAACTATTTATTAATTTATAAATCTATTTTAAATAAATTATAAAATAAGAATTTAAAATAATTATAATATAAAAATTAAAAAAAGGAATTATTAAATTTATTATAATATAATAATATTTAAATATTTAAGATTTTATATATTTAATAATTAATATTTTATTATAATAAAAAATATTAAACCTTTAAAAAGAAGATTTAAATAATAATAATAATATTTATATTAATTTATTTAAATTAATTAAAAATAATAATTATATTTTAAATATTAATAACGCATCTCCCACTTGACCTGGCCACCCAATTGACTTGGCCACCCCCCTAGCCCATACAAATAACATCGGTGCGCTAATCACGTGATAATTGAATAACTTTACGAATATTAGTCGTATAAAATAATAAAATATACCATTAGATTCGTAATAAGAAGAGCTATTCAACGGTATCCTTTATTAACTTTTACAATTTATATTCGCTGAGTTATTAAGCAATACGCTAAAGTAAGCGCTAAAATAATCCTTGCCTAGCGCCCTTTTAGCATATTGCTTAATATCTCGCTTAATAAATTTTATAAAAAATAGTAAAAAATACCGCTGGATTCCTTATTAAATAATGAATCTAATGGTACTAATTATTAAATTGTATGACCAATATTGGTGAAGTTATTATAGATTGAAACATTTGATTTTTGTATGGGTTAAGGGGGTGGCCAGGTCAAGTGGGAAATGCGTTATTAATAAAATATATTATAATATTTTTAAATTTATTAAACAATAATTATTAAAATAAAAAAATTAATTAATAATAAACTATTTTAATTATATAAAATAGTTTAATATATTTATAAAATATTAATATTATTACTTTTAAAATTATTAATAAAATATTTAAATAAACTAATAAAAAATATAATTAAAAAGGTATTATATAATTATTTATATTAATTAATTAATAGAATAATATAATAATTAAAAATTTTATAATAATGTATTTCCCATTTAACCTAGCTACTTAATTAACCTAGCTGCCTTAATAATTTATATAAAACCCTATTATTTTAATCTTTAATAACTTTATAAATATTAATTATATAATTTAATAATTAATATTATTAAATCCATTAGTTAAAGGGGAATTTAAAGGTATTTTTTATTATTTTTTATAAAATTTATTAAGCGGGATATTAAATAATATATTAAAGTAGCGTTAAGTAAGGATTAATTTAACGCTTACTTTAATATATTGCTTAATAATTCTATAAATATAAATTGTAAAATTTAATAAAAGGTATTATTAAATAGCTCCTTTTATTATAAACCTAATAGTATATTTTATTATTTTATATAATTAATATTTATAAAGTTATTAAATTATTATATAATTAGCGCACCAATGTTTTTTATATAAGTTAAAGGGGTGGCCAGCTTAATTAGATAGCTAGGTTAAGTAGGAAATGCATTAATTAAAAAATTAATTAAAGAAATTTATAATATTTAAAAAAGATATATTAAAATAAAGGTAAAATATATATTATTTAATAGTTACTTTATAATATATTTTATATAAAGGTTTAATAAGAACTTTAAAACTTAAATATAAATATTTTAAATATTAATAAATATAAATATTTTAATATTAATTAATATAATTTTAATTATAAAAGTAAAAGAAACTTATATAAGTTAAACTATTTAATTAAAGGAAAATAATATATTAACCTTTATTATTTATTATTATTATTATTATATACCTATTATACTACTTATATAATATAGTTCTTTTACTTATATAGCTATAAGTAAAACTATATAATAGTTGGATAAAAACCCTATATAACCTTTAACTATTGCTTTATTACTTTTTAGCTTTATATAAGCTGGTATATATTATTTAACTATATAGTAAAAAAAAGGAAAGTAAAAGTTTAAACTTTTTTACTTTTTTTATATTTCTTAATTATTTAAAAAGGAAAGGAAGGCCTTTTTCCTTTTTTAAGGGACCTTTAAGGGGGCCCTTTTAACCTTTCTATTTAGGTTTTTTTTTCTTTACGTACCCTTTTCTTTAAACACTTTAATCCCTTTAGCTTTATTATATATACTTATTCTTTTAATGCTTAATAGTTATTTTATAATTGCTTTTATCTTTATTAGGTCCTTTATTATTATTTATAGGTTTTTATTAATTTATAGCTATATTTTAACTAGCTTTTTAATTAAGGTTTTCCTTTTATTTTTTAATAGCTTATATTATAGGATTATATATTATAAAGTTTTTTTATTTTCCGTACATTTATAAAGGGAGGTTAGGAACTTTAAAACCCTCTTTTTATATAAGAAAGCTTTAAATTTTATTTTTCCGGTTTATATTTATATTATTAAGGCCGTTTTATACTTTAGGAATCTATAAAACTTCTATAGTACCTTTTTTTTATTAAGCTTTTACTTTATTATTATAAGGTAGCTATATTTTATTTTAATATAGCTTTATTTCTTTTTTTATTTTGTAATTAAGGTATTGTTTAGTTTTTTCCCTTTTACTTATTTATTTTATTAATAGTTTAAGTTTATAGTTAGGTTACTTTATAATTAATTCTTTATACTATTTATAGGTTTCCCCTTAGTTTACCTTTTAGCCCGCCATTTTTAAAATACTTATATAAATTAATTAACCTTTATTATAGCCTTTATTAATACTTTATAATATATTAAGTTTTTTAATTAACCTTTATTTATTATTACTTTATTATTTAAATATAAATTAATAAAGGGTATATTTAATTTTATTTTAAATTAATATATTAATATAATTTTAAAGACCTTTATAATATATTTAATATAAATGTTTTAAATACTTTTAAAGGAATTAATTATACCTTTTAATTTATTTCCTTTAGGTTATTTATATTATATAATTGCTTTATATATTAAAATGCTTTATATTATTATAAAGTAAACTTATTTAACTTTTATTATATTATTGCTTTATATTAAGTTTTATAATTTAATTATTATATATATTTAAATATTTAACTTTTTTTTAAGTTTAATTAAGTATTGTTTTTATTTAAGGTTCCTATTTAATTATACTTTTAAAAACTTTATACTATTTATTAATTATATTATTATTTATTTAAATTTAACTTTTTATTTAAACGTTTTTTAGCTTTTAAAGAAATATATAAGTTTATTTTTTTAAGGGGTAAATTTTATCCTATACTTTAATACCTAAGTTTTATATATTTATTATACTATTTTTAAAACTTTATAATTCTATTTTATTTAAAGGTTAGCTATAAGAAGGTTTATATTATTTATAAACTTTATTATAATTATCTTTTAA